GCCACCCGCCCCGCCCTGCCCCACCCGGCCACAGTCTTAGATACCACTATGGGGACCTTGAGAAGGGCAAGAAGGATGCGAGTTTGGGGTGTTGAGGGTTTGTTTGTACTTGCTTTGGCCAAATGAAGGCTTCGTGTGTTCTGTTATGCTGACAAAGAATTTCTCCTATGAAAATGTTTGTCATCTCGTGAAATTATACACAATTACAAAAGTGTAGGGGGCTGGGGGGTGGCAGGGCTTGGAAAGGACTCATGTTCATATTGCTTTGAAAGAATCTTTACTGACGGCGCGATGTTGTTTGAAGCAAGCTTTGTACGGCTTAATAAAGAGCGGGGCGAGCCCCTCCATATTGGAATTCACAACGCTCGCACTGATGGTGCGATGTTCGTTGAGGCAGACTAAAAAGCGGGAGAGTTGGGTTACTGTTACTAATACTAGCTATGTTTATTGCCGTTACGGTTGAATCTACTGTTACGCTTGTCTTGCCATCACCACGCTAAATGCCGCACTCCCCAAGACAAGGGCCTACCCCGTGCCGCCTTCCTCTCTCTCGGCTTGCACTTTGCAATTGCGCCAGGGTGCTCCACATGGTGCCGGAGCTGCTGATCCTCGTCAAGGCTATGGCGCCTCGGCAGATTGCCGCCCCTGGAGAGATGCCATGCCGAGCCGCGACGAATCATACATGACCACACGGTGCTAGCCCCTTGAAATGACATGGGGCCATCTACACTTGTCCACAAACTCCACCGAGGTTGTGGCAATGAGGGCTGTTTTCTTCTCCGTGACACTATTGGTTTTAGTGTCTGAGCCTGAATGTGACGACCTATCAGTGGATGCAGGTGCTTGAAGAGAGCTCAGCTTTGTAATGATGTCTGCCTCAGCTGACCAGGCTGTATGTGTTCGGCATAGTCTTCACCCAACTGGCACGGGATGCTTCGCGAGCGGAGGCGTGCAAGAATCAGAACAGAAGCTAATATAGCATTCAGAATGTAGAGGCGTGAGAAAGAAGCAAGGTTTGTGACGTTGTTGCCTCTCTGTTTGCAGGCGTACTTTGCCACGGTTCCGGACTCGATGACAACATTGCTATTGAACGGGATCTTTCTCGTGGCTTGGGTTGCACCGATGACGTCACCTTGGCTTCTCCAGGTGCTGTTGTGATAAGGTGTGATGAGCTAAAATAAATCTGTTTGACATCACAGTAGACTGGAATCACCTCCATCTGCTCTGCCGTCCTGCCTCCTCGTTGCAGAGATGAAGGACAGCGTCGGGAATGTGGTGCGCGACATCGGCCGAGACAACCTGCTTTTCAGCGCACTCTTCATGGCGCGGCCTGGCACCAGCACCTCACGGTTGCGCCGGAAAGGGGTGCTGCAGTTTCTTCGCTTGGGATCGCTTGGGGTCAGCGTAATGCCACGCAGTGTAGCAGAGGGCTTGGGCACGTCGGCATTGAGCTAACAACCGCAAGCGATCACAAGTGAGGTTTGTGTTGGTCGCCACTCTCACGGTCATGAACATGCTGGCAAGAGCCCGAGCTTTTGCAAGGCTGAAAGATTGCCCGCGCATCTCTTGGGCGGCTTGGCCCTTTGACCGTCTTTGCTTCAGGTCGGTATCCTTGTGGAGGTCATCAGTGTCATCGCATCTGTCGAGAAGGCACTTTTGGGTCCAGCTTTAGCCAGCTTAATTCAGCCTGAAGGTTTTGGTTTATGTATGTGTTTTCCATGGTGTCGCAGGAGCAGCTCATGGTCTCCACGGTTCAGGAGAAACTCGAAGAGGCGGCGATATGCGCTGGTTACTTGTTTGTTCAGCGAATCAGACTCCTACAAGTACCGTGCAATTGAAACCAACTTGGAGGTGATGGACTTAGTGGGCCTGCCTGGAGCCCAGGTCCGGTGATGTAGGCCACTGCGGGCACTCTGTCGCTTACCCATTCCCGCCGCAAAGTGTGCCGCATCTGTACTTAGGCGAGTGAAAATTGAATTCGCAGCCCCTGCCAAATTCTCAAAATCTGCTTGGCTGAGGTCCAAGGACAATCGCCTCACTCGCTGGGTTGCTGGGCTGCACATGAGCCACATGTCACTGCCTCCAGCTCCGTAATGTTGAGCTTTGTTGTACGGTCCACATGGTTTTGTCAATTTTGTCACAGCGGATGGGCATTGGATTCCTGTGCAGTGAAGTCAGCAGCAGGGCCCATCACCCCATCACCCCCCCCCCCCCCCCCCCCCCCCCCCCCCCCCAAGAAGCAGGGCCTATGAACTCCACCCCCCCGTCACCCCCTGGAGCACTCCCCCAACACCACTCTACTTGCTGGAGGAGTTTCTGAAGCTCATCCAGCAGCCCGAAGCCGCACGTATCCTCCAGGACCTTTGCGTATTGTACGACAGCCTCCAATGTCTCCAGCATCTACTATTCAAGATGTTCCCGTAGTTTTTGTTTGAATAGCCAGTGCTTTCAGGATGTTGGTGTGGATGCGGCACCCTAGCAGCAGATACGCGACGACACAACAGCTCGTGCACCCCAAGCCCTTGCAGAGCCCTTAACGCTGTTAATGCTTGTTTGATTTTTTAAAGCTTGATTTGGCATCGCTTTTTGCATTGTCCAGCAATTATTTTTAAAACATCCCATGTCAATGAGATTTTCACTGAGAACGCACCACCTGTTCCAGCTTCCGTCTTCAGTAGAAGCCGCTGCAAGTTTGAGCCATAGCCCCGATAAAGAGCTTGCATTGTTTCGATGTGTTTCTTGTTTTGAAACGGGTGTTCCCCAGTTGTGCAGCGGGTACGTGTCCAGCAGATGTTGGTTCGTCTGAAGCGCTTGCAAGGTTTTTCTTACAAAAAGGGCTGAAATAGCAAGAGTCCCAGACAATGGGCGTTGTTTAGTTTAGTTTGCGCTGCACCTTGCATGCGTAATTGGAGGCCAGCTATGGAGACATTCCCGCATGCGTGGCAAAACCAAAAAACTTTCAAAAAACAACAGAACAATTTTCTGGGTCTTTCAATATGCGGTCTGCAGGGTTGGGGTAGATCCGATGGGCCGCCCAGGGCCATCTGCACTGCAAAGGTGGGCCTCTTTGACTTCATCGGCGTGATCTTTCCCAACCATCATGCAACCATCACGTTCCCAGCCTTGATCCAGGCCACGACTGCATGATATTGCATGAGGCATACTGATGATACAGCCGACATTGTAGCTGCCAGCAGCGACCATGCAGCCCAAGTGGACAGGTTGTGCTGTCTCTGAGGGGAAACAACCATGCGACGGTCTTGACCTCAGGTTTTCGGCGGGAGCAAAGTTGCCTTATGTTTGCAATGTGAACAACGTGGCCGTTGCGTGCGCAGAAGTCGACAACCACAGGTGCCCAGGTAACCCCTGCTGGTCACTGCCCGCATGTGTTCTTGAAACATACCGCGCCCGTATGAGAAGGCAACACTAAGCTAAGCTTCCCAACAAGAAAACCACAATAAGGAAGATCAAGCTGAGTCAAAAGCACGCAGTCAGCGGCAAGGTCAAGGATCTCGTCGATTTGCGGAAGTGCCCCTCGGATCATTTGGCAGACATGAACCAGAGCCGTCCCACACTTGTGTGCCACGTGCACGCGTAAGTGAATGTTTGTGCGTGCTATAGAGGCATGACGAGCATTGTAGACTCAGTCATTACTTGCATCCGGAAATGCCAGTGTCTCCCAAGCGCTTTGAACCTGTTGCAAAGTCTTCATTCAGTGCCATTTCAGTATTGGCTGGGTTCAATACTTCGTGTTGTCGCCTTTAAGATGTATTGATTCCAAGGCCTGCTGGCCGAGCTCGGCCGCTTTCCCACGCTGGATCCCATGCCCGCGCGGCGCTCCGCGTGTTGAGCGCTGGCTGAGCGAGGGTTCGGTTGCTGTAGAGCTCATAGTCACAGGCAACAGTTTGGGTGGCAGAAATGATCACAGCTTATGTGTAGCTGCCTGAAGCATCGACGCAGCAACCTGCAGTGCTCGGCTGCCGAACAGCGCTTGCAACCGTTTGCTTGAGTCCTTCGGCGCCTTCGTGACTTCTAAAAGAAGGGGACCGTAAGGAACTCGGACGGCCAGTGGCCGTCGGAATTCGCGACAATGCCCTGAATTTGGTTCATGCTCGCTCTCGGGCACTTTATTGCACTTGCAACATCTAATAGCCGAGCCGCGAAGGAGGAATGTCACTTCTTGTGTTGACCTGCCTCATGTCACTTGAGTACGTCACGTGGGTCACTTGCGCACACGGTGACATCAACTCCAAGGCCTCAACGGGCGTACAGCCCTGCGGCCCTGCGCGATTCAGAAACAACTGAGTTTGCCACTCTGCCAAGCAGAGGCAAGACTCGTCGAAACTCTGCGTGCTACGTACTAAGACGTAAGAGGCATCTTTTCCTGCGGATGGACCAGGATTGCTTCACCAGCAAGCGCACGACTGCAAATGCAGCGTGGCTGTTTCACAATCGCAGATCTGCTCGTCGGCTACCAGTACAGAGTTTCTCACTGGCTTTGGTCAGAGGGACCAGGGGGCTGGCGGACAAAGTTTTGTTAAAAAGTTAATGCCAAGTCCTCTTGGGCTTGATTTGGCACTTTTTGGCACAGAGGCGCAGCTCTTTATCTGACTTTCCCGAGGGTGTCCCGTGCTGTGCTTATGCTTTCAAGATTGCGCCTTCTCCGAGATGGCAGAGGCAGCCGATATCGGACAGGGCATTATTAGTATTCTTCTTATTATTAATATCATTATGATCATTATCGTCATTATCATGATGTTTTCTTATATACTATTTGATGGTTCGCGAAGTTCAAGCTGATATGGCCCTCTCAATAGTATTTGACTAGTCGACTATGCAGGCAGTGATGTGCAGTGCCATCATGTTGCCACCGGCTGCCCCTGTTCTGTCAGCGAGAGTTGAGGCTGGAATAAAACGAACAACCCAATTTGCAAGCTCAAGCTGCTACAAGCCTTCAGCAGATTACATCTCAACACATGTCGCACTCTGCTGGTGCCAAGGCAGGCTGAAACGCTTCGCCTTCGGCATCAGGCTCGACATCTGGAGGCAGAGACCCAGGCACCCATTGTCAATTGTCGGCACTCGAGGAGTTTGAGGCAAATAGATGCTTTCAAGTTTTGCATGTCAACAGTTGGAACTTCGGCACACCACAGCACCACGCAGGGAGGTATATACTACGGTGGTGTATACGTTACATGTCGTTCCGTATCACAGTGGCACAAGCGATGTCCAATTACAGACAACTCACGCCCCGCGACACTCAGCATCGGCCTCAGCAGGTGGAGCTACAAGCAACAGCCCAGCGAGCCCGGGACGAGGCGCAAGATGCGATGTAAGTTGCGCTGCCGCCAAAACAAAGGTAGCGGGATGCAACATGTCCTGGGATTCCTGGGCTGCAGGCGCACGAGGCTCACTGGCGACGCGTATTTCTGGAGGCAGCAGCCTACAGGCCTCAAGAGTCCAGTCCTCGCTTGAAGAGCCCTGTGAAAGGCTCAGCAGACTGAGCTCAACTTGGAAATGCGTGCCTTTGAACAGTCATGTGCTCGGCACATGCTTCATAGTCGCGACCCGCTTCGACTTGCAAGGCACAGCAAACGCGAGTTTGATTTTGTCAGTTGGACCGTCTATGTTCAGGTTGTTTTTTCATGCGCTGTTACAGTGTCTTGGATAATTTTAGTTGTTTCATTTGCCTTGCTTTGCCGTGCTTTGCCTTGGTTTGGCTTGGCTTGGCTTGGCTTGTCTGGCTTGCTGGGGTGTGCGTGTGGGCGTACGTGGGCGTACGTGCATGTGGGTGTTTGAGCCCGTGCCCGGAACGACAGTCTGCCATAGTCCACTGAGGCGACAGGCTCTTCAGCCCGCGCCTGAGCTTGTCTTCCATCGTCCCTCACGTGAAGAGTTTTGCTTCTCAAACCCTTGCATCTCAATCTGCCCCAAACCTTCTAGCAATCGAAGCATGTAAGGGGTGCGCAGTTCCCTGAGCAACATGCTGCGAAAGCCTGGTTACAGCAGAGGTGCGGGGAGCGCTGGTACAAATCTGAGCGTTTTGACTTGCTGAGGCGGAGGAGTGAGCATTTTGAGTGCTTGCGTGGAGACAAAAGCACCGGCCCATAGCATTGGGCTGGGGGAGACACCATGAGTCATCGTGCATCGACAGTCTAACTAGGCCAGTTCTAGTCCATTGTGATACCAGCAAAAAGTGAAAGTTGATGATGAGTTGACCCCCATCCAAAGAAGTGACCCCCGTCCCAACGTTGGCTCGCCATGCGACGGACTACGACGGACTACCGATCTTTTCTGGCTCGGGAACACACACAGTACCCATGACAGGCAAGACTGTCGATGATAGGCTTAGCATGAATAGAGCGCACATACCCCAATGAGTATTCTGTGCATACAAGGCATCTCTGAAGGTTACTTTACACAGCCTGATCTTCCGTGGTGCTGAAGCGAATCGCAGGCACCTTGTCAGCACCACAGGGAAGAAATCACCCTTCCCAGAGTGTCGGCAGACGTTGTCTAAGTGAGGCGAGGGTGGTTTGCTTGCATTGTTCACGATTCCTTGTCAATCAAGTCCTGCCCAGATTCTTCCCTTGCGCGGTTTTGGTCCGAGACATCCAAAGTGCTTGTTGCCTGTCGAGTTCAGACTCCGCGCTCGAGTGATGAACCATGCCTGAGCAGATGAAGCTTGCGTTCATGGCGATCTCCATGGCATGCCTTTCATTGCAAGTCACTGGTGTGCGGCCGGCTCGTTCGTCGCACGACGAACACCTCTCCGATCTTGCACTGGGTAACAGAAGCAACAGAGCCAAGCTTGAGAATGGGGACTGTGCATCCGATCCCCTGTCCACAACGGTCCCAGCATTTCGTCAGGTTAAGGTCCCCGGGCAGTGCAAACGCACATGTATCGACAAGTCAGACCTGAAGGTCTCAATGGGCAGCTCCGTCGTCAGTGGACTTATGAACGGCGCCTTGTTGCTGAACCCTGGCCTCGCCCCTGCCAAGCTCGCAATTTATGGTGGCCTCTATTTCAGCGGCGCCATCCCAGATTGGAATCAGCATGATTTCTGTACTCAGATCGTCTCCTCAATCGTAATCACCTGCCCGCGCTACCAGAGCAAAGGTGCAGCTTGTCCACTCGACACTTCGAGTAGGAATCCCCATTGCGAGGCCGTGTACAAGGCCGGCTTGAAGGGAAAGCCAGTCGGCGAGTCCGAGTTCAAGTGTGCGATTGCAAACTGGTGGGATGCCTGCTGCAATGTGAGGGCAGCGCCCGCAGACTCCGAAGATTCCGAGTGCCGAAATTGTGGGCAAGACATGTACTTCTGCACGGAATTGCCAGGCTGACTCTAAGTGCAGCTCAAACTAGTTGCACTGAGCTCTTTCTTGCGCTCGTGCATGGGCAGCGATAGTGATGTTTGGACTGTCAGCACGGCTGAAGAAGCCCTGCAGACACCGGACGGAGATCTGCCCACGTCAGTCCGAGCGCAGCAGGGCAAGCTGGTTCGCAGCAGATCCGACATTCCTGCTTATATGGACGATTGTGCTGAGCCGAAAAACTTGCAACTCATCCTTGTGAGTGGCCACCTACAAACCTCGAAGGCTACCTGGAATAGGAGTAGACTTTCAGTGTGTCAATGGCAGTGGTTTCAAAACGCATCCGAGTGCGCCGAATGCGAATTTGAGGCACCGCCACCATGGATTCAGCGGCGCAAAATAACTTCTTCCTCTGGGGCACTTGGAAGAACAGGCGGGGCGAGCTTGTGCTAGGACCGCTAGGAGCAGTTTATTTTCATCTTCGGCGCGAGAAATCCGACTAGCATGAACTGCCGGCAAAGCGTGGCTATTCAATCCTTTTCATCAGCACCGGCCAGGGTGATCTCCCGGCCCTTCCTCACCAAGAAGGTCTTCTGCGCTCGTTGCCACTGCAGAAAAGAGGCTCTGCTTTCGAAACTTTCATTTCCTGTCAAAGGTGCCGCAGCAGCTGAAGAAGGTCGTCCGTTGCTCAAAATTGAGGGGGAGCTGCTCAGGGAAATACGTTCGCAATTCTAATTCCAGTGGCAAGGGATGATGAAACGACGACGACTGCCTGCGCTTTAAGGTCCTGGGGGACAGTTTCGTCATTGGTCTGACCGAGAATGGCAAGGTTAGGGCTTTCGGCTCGATGCCGTCAAAAGCCCATGCGGACACGCACGCAACACATGACTTGACTCAAGACATTCACTGCATTTTCACTGCATCTCAAAGTCATTCGCTTCAAACTCCGCGAACGCTTCGCCGACCTTTTTTTTTGCCAATGTGGTCTGCTGAGATCTGCTTTGGCCAGGTGGTCTCCTGGGGAAAGGACATGAAGACAGGATGCCTCGGCTTAGGTGCAGGGCTTTGGCTTTCAAGATGTGCGCAGAGATCCCTGCCCTTCGGACTCCGTTCAGGTGCTACTTGTACTGAGTGCTACTGTGCAGAACAGAAAAGGAACAGTAAGAAGTGCCAATATGTGCTTAGGCACATCAGCGCCCATCCCAAGGTTTCGAGGACACGGGAGCACCCGTGTTGAACAAGGACATTCCTCAGGAGGTCTGGGGTGCCCGCCCATCCACCTGAATTCTTCGAGTTGTTCAACCTAACCAAGAAACAGATACCCGCATGCTCTCACAGTAGGTAAATGTGGACTGCTTTGTGAATCCAGCCGCATAGAATGATGATAATGTTGACCGTTGGCCTCATCTCTTCAACGCACCAAGATTGCTTAGCAACTGTTGCTTTCGCTTTTGCTTTGGTCTTGGGATCAACCTTCAACTGTTCTGCCGAAGCCTTGTCCCCTGGCCACAGATTCCTTCGCTCAAGGAGGCTGGCAGCTTATTGGCAGAGTCGGGATTCGTTCGATGAGTTTAGACTTCTCAAGGTTTATTGAGAGCTGAACCCTCCCAGCCACGAATCCGACTCCCATGAACATCTAACCTTGGAGCATCGGACCAAATGCCTATGCACGTATTGCACGTCAGACGGGGCAAGTGGTCCATGTCTCGCTGTCCACTCCGTAGCCAAAAGTCTCGGCTCATCACAAGCCTTGCAATTCTGTCAGAGACTCTAAGGAATTTCAGGACGCGGTACATGACCAAGCCAAAGCTGTCCTCAACACTCCCAGGATGTCTCTTCGTTTCACTCCACTCAAGCTTCTGCAAAGCGCGCCTCTGAGGTCATGGACATCCAGATGGGCTTGGAGCATGTTGTGGCTCTCACTACTGGCGGCGAGGTGCTGATCATAGCTAGTGGCAAATCTCGCCCGTCATCAGCCATGCCATGCCCGCGGTTCAGGGTTTATGGTTATTCGGGGTCATGCCCTGGCATGCCCACGCTTCGACTCGTATGCCGTCCAGGTGTTCTGCTGGGGCAATGGAGGCAAGGGTCAGCTCGGCAACGGCAAGTTCGACATGTCCTACTTGCCTTGCAAGGCAGGTCATGAAAATTCGCTCCATAAAAGCTCACGAACCTTCACGATCTTCATGGCACCGGAGACTGTCCCAAGCATTCCGAAGAGCAATTGCTTCGGGTGAGGTGGATGCGCTGGCCAACGAGCAGATCGTGCAGATTGTAGTGGTGAAGCCCGGCCCTTGGAACAGAGTTCGCCTTACTCCTGCCTGCCGTGCTCCCAAAGCTGCCCAAGTTTTTCACTTAAGCCTCAACAGTCCTATGGTCCTCATCACTGTCCTATCATACATGTCTCTTCTCATGCGACCGGACTGCAGCCTGGAGTTGCCGCGGCCGAGGAACTCGACCTTCGCCTTGTCCACAAATGGCACGGTTTTTGCCTGGGGCGAGAACAAGGAGGGGCAACCTCGCCGCGACCTCGCCGCGACCTCTAGATTCCGATGCTGCCCCCTGCTACTTTTCACAGAGAGCAGCTTAGTTGCGATGGGAAGTGGGGTTCACATCTTGGTGAGCGTACCAGTCTATACAGAGCTCCTGAGAAATGTGGGTGAATATACAAGAAGTACACAGTGTGTGTGTGTGTATACATCTAAATGTATACATTTCTAGATACATATCTCCTTTTTTCCTGACCCCCAATACATTTCTACTACATATACTGCACATGTCTTACTTCATCTGCGAGCAGAGGGCGGGACCTTGGCCGTAGTGTCTCATTATTTGCGTGTGCTCAGCGTAGGTGGCCGTTATGCGTATTTGTGCCTGTGGTTGTTTTGCTTTTTGGTGCGTCTGGGCTTACTATGTGCTTGTTTTGAGTGTTGGTGCGTCTGTGTTCTGAGGGCCCCAAGCCATTGCCGTTTCCACCAGATGTCACAGGTTGTGATTGTTTGGGCAGACTTCTCCTTGCCAGGACAACATCCTCGGCTTCGAGGAGGAGACTGCAAAGAAGCAGGTCCTTCGAAATCGGCATGTGACATGGAGTGTCTTTCAGAGAAGAAGCTGTGAGTCTTTAAGTCCAAGTGTGCCCCCGGCAGCAACTCCCATGAGCCAAATTCAGAGCATCTGTGTCAGGTGACAGAATGGCCGCTGAAACTGACACTGCTCCAGGAAAATCGGGTGCCTTGGAACCATATATGATCGCGCATATGCAACCGATTGTGTAATGTTATTCGCGCCACACACCATCCGCGCACACAGAAGGACAAGGTTTGCTTGCCAGCGGAGTCAGGGACGTAGGGCAGAGCTCGTTTATGTGCATTCCGACGGAACTGTGTGCTTCATCGACTTTCCAATCAGAAGTGCCGTCTCTCGATGAAGCTTTTGGGCGCGGGGGTATGCTTTGTATTTTCGTGTTCCCCGAAGACACTGCCAGCACAAAAGGTGCAAATATCCTCCTGTGCGGGTTTTGAATGGAGACCAGCTTTGCTTTTCCGGGAGGTGCGCAAGTTGGAGGTGTTTGATGGCAAGACCATCATCGCCCACATTCGCGCCTTCCCCTAAGCTTTTGCCATTGCCATCAATCTACTTGCTTTTGTCGGCTTTGATTCCTGTATAGCTGCTAATTATCGTTCGGGGCCAGACCAGGTTGCCTGCGAGTTTATCCCAGGTGCTTCATGCATTGATGACCTGCTGGGTTTTTGTGTCGAAGGATGTGTGAAGCCATGGGATGGAGAAAGTGCCACGCATGCAACCTTCGGCCGTGCTCAGGGCCAGGACAGTGAGACAACCTTCGGCCGTTTTGAGACGGTACAGGAAGATGGTGGTCAGGAGGGGCATTCAGGATGTTTTCGGGTAACAGCACTTGCATAGATCACAGCTGTATTGAATTAGAGTTAGACTGAATAGATGGTAGACGTTCTGGGTTATATGGCAATGGTACGAAGTGCTATACGAGCGTGCATAGTTGGTCGCTGCAAGCTGCTGTATAGTGTTGTGTTGCGGGTCCTTCTTAACCTAAGCAGGAGGAAGAAGAGGAGATCGAGATCTTCAAGGGAATCGATGAAATGCGCAAGATCATGGAAAAGACGCAGGTGGCGCGGACCTGTGCATGTGCAGACCCGGTCTCCTTGGCTGGCAGTGTAATCTGGCTCAAGTCATCGTCGTCACCTTCATCACTACGACCGCTTGCACTGTCCTCTGTATCTCCATCGCTGCTGTTGAGTGGTCCTGCTCGTGTTTCTGAGTTCTTGGGGCTGCTGTTCCTGTGTTGTTTTCCATCCTCGCCGGTCCCTCCTCATCCAGTTCTTTACACAAATAATTGACCTGAAACAATGTGTTTTCGCAGATGTCACATAATGTATGAGTAAATTGCTGAGAGCACAGCGGTAGTGAAACGAAGAGGAGCTGGTAAGCAAGTAGCAAGTACACCTTTTCAAGTGCACACAGGAGTGGTGGAACCACCTCCTCAACATCAAGCACGGCCAGCCTTACGACCTGCCACAAGACTCGCACATCAACATGGCCGGCCCGTCAAGTTTGGGTTTTTGCGGTTTTTAAGCCTTGTCTTCCTAGCATTGGGCCAGAACAGCGAGAAGCAGCCCGACAAGATCGGGGCGACGATAAAGGATGCTGGCCACTCAGGAAGAACCAGACGACCAAAAGCCTCAATCTGCAACTGTGCTGTGTTCTGAAACCAATGACCGATACACGCAACTAGGCATACATTGGTTAGGGATCATTCAGGATTTCGAGACGAAGAAAAAGGAGGAGGAAGAAGAAGTGGAGAGAGAGAGAGAGAGAGAGAAAAAGAAAAGGTTCCCCAACTGGGGGACCCCAAAGCGTGCAGAAGAAGAAGAAGAAGAAGAAGAAGAAGAGAGAAGTTCTTGCACATCCTGCGGGCACATGGTGGCTGAGGATCTGGAGGCCTGGTTTCTGGGTGTGCGAGAGGACACCCATCAATGGGACCCGTGGAGCCTAGGGTTAGGGGTCCCAGCATACGAGGCGCATCCTCCAAGGCCCCCCCCGACAATCTAGAAGACTCTGCGCCCGCAATACATGGCATCCGAAATGCTTCAGAACAGCATTCTATAGTGTTCTTGTCTAATCACCATTGATCGCCATTGATCACCCTTCCTCAGCTTACGAGCTTTTTTTTTGTGGGGCCAGGTGGAGCCTGAGCGCCTCCACCGAGCCGAAAGGCCTTTGAAGTTTCATTCCACTTGATCTTTTCTTGGCGTTTGTTTTGCGTAATATAAGGCTTCAGACTTTGCAGAAGGGTAGGTTTCAACTGTCACAATTGCTTTGCAGCGCCACAGAACAAGGGATAGTCGACTGCCGGCACCCAGAGATGCCGCTGCTTAAAGAGCGCCGGTTTAGGGTTTAGGGTTTAGGGTTTTGGGTTCCGACTCCTAAACATCCCTAAGAAGTTAAACGTATCCAAGAGGCACTTGGACGCGTTGGTCACAGCGGCTGTGACTGAGCTCAAGCGGACGCAGCAAATGCCAGGGACGAGGACAGAAGCAGCCAGTTCGGCGTGGAGAATGGATTGCATTCTCGAGCACTGTCGCTAAGCTAGAGATCTTTGCCAGGAATGTTCGCTTCATCCTTTGCATGTTTATTGACGAGTGCCGCCTGAGAAGAGAGAAGGCCTGCAACTGCCTATTTGCAATATTTCAAGTTGAGATTTGGCTGGACTGGAAGCCCACATCCCAAGAAGATTGCATTGGCTTTCTGCCTACTTGTAGAAGCGTGCTGACGCTTTGGAAGCTCTGGAAGCATCCTCCAAGCTGGTGCTTCGCCCGCTCCCCCGGGAAGGTGCAGCGCACGATTGCAGCGCGCCAGTTGAAGGATGCCAAAGCGAAGTCCAAAGAGATTGTCGCGTGCCTCGGTTGGATCAAGGCCGATGTAGGAGCTGGAAATGTGTTGAGTGATGTTGAGTTCAATTTTTTGACTGCCGTTTGCATGGCCCTGCGCTGTCCCCACAGTGCCACCTCAACCCATGGCAGACCTAGATGCCGGGGGTGGGGAAGGGGTGGGGGGGGGGGGGGGGGGGGGGGGGCGGTCAGTAATATTGCGTTCCGTCGCCTGGTCGAGAGAGAGCCGCCAAGCTCCAGCATGCAGGTACTCTGTCAAAGACTTCAGCTCCAACGCCAACGAGAGCATAAGAAAAATCATCGCCGTGACAAAGGCGCTTGCGAATCTGACTTTCTATAGTGATGCCGCCCCATGTGCTTGTCGGTCTTCTGACTGTGACAGTCGCCGCTTTGTCTCTCAGCCCATTCTTGGCGGAGTAGCACGAATAGTATTCATGATTCTCCATTCATCGCTGCCGAAGCTCCTCTGCGGACCCTTGAGAGAGACTGAGAGACTACTTGGAGGAACTTCAGCAGATGCTGGACGCGGTAAAAACAATTCAGCCCGTGGACGTGCCGAGTCAGGAGCTGAAGGCGCAGATGGCAACAAAGAAAGCAAGAGAGTATTCGAGATGTGTGAGCCGAGTGTGCCATAAGTCAGACGTAAATCAAGCCATCGGAGGTTTCCTTATAGGCGTGCCTCAGTTTCTGGGAGCCGCAAACGGGGACAGGCAACTCTTGTGGAGTGCCTGGAGTGCAAGCTGCAGCTCCATGACAATCAAGTCGAGCTTCTCAAGGCACGTCGTGACACTGCATGTAATTAGCCGGCTAGCGCGGCAAAGGGCCTACTGGCTGTCCAGAGTCCTCACCGCTTAGTGTGCAACTTCGGGTTGATGTTGCAGACCGTTGCACTCCCAATGGAGATTTTTGGGATACTAATCTTCTGAACGCTGTGATGTGGGCATTTGCAGGCAGCATCAGGCAGTTCGCAGCCCTTTGTGCAAGAAATCTTTTGTCGTCCTGACTGCTCACAGCCATGACGGGCCCTCGGAACACAGATGTCAAGCCATGCCCCAGATCCAGCATAGCATTGTCCAGGCCATAATCGGAGCAACCGTTGCCCACCTTGCTATGTGGCGATTTGAACGCTGCAGCCAAGCCACAATGTAAATGTCAGCAGGGCGCACCTGGTTCGGAGTTGGGGGCGCGCTAGCTCTTCTCCTTGGCGCATTTTTTCAAAGTCCGCAGTGGCTTTACCGATCTGACTTTGCGTCCGTTGATTACGACTACGTTCGGAATGAGTCTCAGTGTCCAGACATCAGCGTGGGCGATGTTGAGCTACCATGCTTACCTCTGCCACCGACTGCGCTGGGCGATTTCGAGCGCACAGGGTTCCTGGTTTTGCGGCAGGCCGGGTGTTCGGGCATCCTTGTGTTGGCTCTCGCTCCTGCTCCTGCTCTCGCGAAGCATTCTTGTTAGCAAACGTCATATGCCAGCGGTGTCAGAGGCCATTCCGCTTGTTGTTGTGAAGCGGCTCTTCCAGGAAGTCCAGTGCCCCATGGCAAGAATCATTGTTATTTCACTTGTATGATTATTCATATTATAGTGTTATTCTTGTTCAAAACTATTACATATATATATATATATTATATTATCCGGATTCGGTCTCGGGCGTTCCCCAACTTTCCCCCGAGGTACCTTGCAGCCACAGCAACCATCCGACCTTGACCAATGGGTGCCTTGGCTCAGTAAAGCGACTTGCATTCGCTTGCGCTACTTGAGCGGCAAGCCTTCGGAGCTATCTGCAGCACTTCCAGGCCGAAAAGAGGGCCATGAGCAAAGAAAGCATGGACAGGAAGTTGTAGCTCTGGTCACCGATCTCACTGTTGCTAAGGCCCTCTCAGCACGCAATGTTTGGATGGATTCGGAGGCATTCTCGAGTTTTGTGCTACATGCCTCTCGGACCACAGTTCAGCAAGTGGGAACCCAGATGCGTGCGTGATGTGTGACTGCACATGTCCGATTTTTCGCGCGCTTGCAGGGTCTCACGGTGCACAGGTCTCTGGGAGCGGGTTTTGAAAACCCGCTCACAACATCGGGTTTCGGGCGCCGCGACACGCTGCGGGCTCGAAACATTCCTCGATCCTGTTCTGAGATGCCCGAAGCGCATGTTTCGGCGCCGAGACACGCAGTTCGTTCGAGAAGGGTGGTCGCTCAGCTTTTCGCATTTGCGCAAACCCAGGGTTTGCCGCAAAGTACTGCGCAGGTTTTCAAAAACTAACCGTTCTTTGCGTGATGCGAAAAGTGAAGGACAAAAGGACAAACATAAATGCGGAGTGCTGTCCAATAGTTTTTGCCGAGGAAGCCCAAGGTGTAGAGTGTAGTCGGTGCACTTCCGAGAGCACTTCCGAGAGCTCAGGAGCGCAACCCTTTGGGATGCCTAGCGGCGCAGCTCATCCATGGTGCAAGCACAGTCCGCTACGGCAACGAGGCAAGCTGGGCTTCTAAGCATCTAGGCCAATCTAGGCATCCCCAAGTCCCCAAGCTTCTGCGAAACCTAGTGATATATCCGACCTATCCTTTAAATGCAAGTAGATCACACTCTCGAACTACACAGGTTTTCTGCGCACTCTGGAATCCTGGAATCCGGAGGCGGTGAACATGATTCGGCCGGGTCAGACCGGAGCCCGCACGTGGCATTTTGATGTGCAGAGCGCCTCGTCAGCAGCTTAATGTTCAGCTGATGCCGTAGGGCCGCATGGGGCGTGTCAGAATCAGAGCTTACGAGCCCATGAAGGCCCGACCTCCGGTCACCTGGGCATGAGAAGACAGATGCAAGCTTTGGGTTCTTTCTGAGTTTTCGTGATCAGTGCAGAATCACCACAATGCTTTTGGGCGAACCTTCTGGCCGATTTGCGGCTTGAGAGCTGAGGTAACCTTCGGCTTGAGCAATCCCCACGAGGTGGGCGGAAAGTTCCCGGTGAAAAGGGTCACTCAGATTTGAGAACCGACCAAGCTTTTGAGCAGCCAATTCTCCATGAGTTCCATGGCAAGTAGGCTTGCCGCTCGTGCGCTTCTTCCTGCCTTTGGGGCCGCAGGACATGGGTTATCATGGGTTATCATGGGTTGCTTTCCATGAGCTGGGACAGATTGGGACAGGGACTGTGAGCCGACCTTGGGGTCCAAAGTTTGCAGGACCTCACCGCAAATTGGACTGGGGGCTCGCTTCAGCTGCTGCCCCTCGAGGTGCCCGAGCTTCTTTTAGGGTACAGCAAGGGCTTGACGAGGGTGGTCTCAGCCATTGACATCTAGTCAGAAGTCATTTCATGAGATGTTCATGCTGCTCTTGGTTCGATCCTGAGGCGGTGAGACGCTTGCGGCGGAGCTACAAAAGCTGCAGCTCGCATTGAAAGGTGGTAACTACATAGGTTGAAGCTTCGAATGTACAAGCAAAGCCGATGATCCACGACGAGAGGATCTCGCCTACACTGTGCATGGGTGCACAGCAACAGCCAAGTGGCAGAATATCCACCGCTTTGTAGTTTCCTTTGCATGTTCAACAAGTGTGGAATCACAGGCCACATGTCATTGGCTTTGTTTTCGCTGGATTTAAACTGCAAGGCCCGAAGCATGAACCTCAGGCGGCACACGGCACAGCTTTGCACACCTTTAGAAGGCAAATGGTCGACAAGAGAATGTCTGAGAGTCCTTTCGAATTGTGCAAAGCCAATCAGGAAGGACGCTAAGCTCCGAACCAGCAACCCGAGATGTGCATTCATACGGAGCCATCTGGGAGCAGTATTGTTGCCTGAACAAATGGGACTCCTCCATTTCAGGCTTCGTCGACCGCGAGAGGAAGCTGACCGTAGGCGCTGAGTGCGCTGTGGCAGCCGAGGCAGACAGTAATAATAGGGTCTTGACGGAGATGTGTCTGTATTTGTGTTCGGGTCTTGAAGCAGCTCGGCGCTCTTCCTTTCTTTCTGACTCTCTCTCTCTCTCCCTCCCTGTCCGTTTGTCAAAAGTGAACAGGCAGTGGCAGAGACGCCCGACCTTTCGTTGGGAGATATCGTGCTGTGTCTCGGCACCGGTCCTTTGCTGTGTCAGTGAAGCTATCAATGACCCAGGTAGCACTTTGAGAGGCAGCAGCTAGAGAATGTGGGAAGCTGTTGTGTCCTGGTTATGTGCTGTCAACAGTTCGCACAATTCATTTTCGTTTTCTTGTGCTCACTTCACTTCGTTCATGCATTTCGCTAGTAATTACATCTCAGGTGCAGGCAAGGGCTGTCTAACAACATACTCGTAGTTCATGGAGAACCTGTTGCACTGTTGCAAGGTACAGCCCGCTGATTCCCCACAAAACGCAGGCTGTCAAGAAAGGCACTGCTACTTGAACTCCGCTCCTGCGCATGACTTCCACAGCCTCTGTTGAAGCTTCGATTGGCAGCAGCTATAGCGTGGCACTTCAGTCTGCAGAAGGACACTGTCATGAGTCATGACAGCCTGGGCATGCTTCGCGGGTTTGTTGCTCATGTGGCATGCTGTTTTGGCAACAAGGGTTCCGCATTCTCATGTCGGAGGCACGCGAGTGGGCTACCTTGGAAGCCTCTATGATCCAGAGCTGCTTACCCGCTGGGTGCGCAAGGCTTCGGGGCATTCAAGGTCGAGAAATCGTCAGGAGACAACAGCATTGTGATTGTTCCTACTTCCTTGTCAGGAGCCGATACCTTCACAAGCAGATCCCGAGAGATATCGAAGCTTGGAAGTGATCTTCGAATTTTTCAAGAGTGCCTTGCGTGAGAGTTTGCCGAGCTGCTCAGGACTTGCTGACTCGATGCTGTTTGATGTCTTCTGCTTGGCAGGAGCTGCGTGCATTCTGGCGTGATGAGTAGCTTCTGCTCACCTTTGTGTTCAGCAGTATTGCGGGCACTTTATAGAGCTGACAGTGAACAGAGAGTTTTGGCAAACTCTGAGGTTACGACCAAAGCAGCCGCGCATGCCACCACAACCTGAACTGGCAGAGCGCTGCCACACAAGGCCCCGTTCACTCTTTGCAGGGGCTTAGGCATAGCTGCTCCCCGTCCTGAATATGCTGGCGATCTGCAGATCTGGGCCACATGACGTCACGCGCACCAAGTTGACATAAGTTGACAAAAGGGCTGCAGCTATTTGTTCCAGGCATTAGCGATGGCACGACGCCCTGCTTTCCCCAGATTTATCCAGAGCACGACGACGACGAGGCGTCTCCATTCTCTGAGCTCTTTTTGTGACTGTCTCTTGACCGGCAGAGCCTTAGGAAGTGAATAGCCGGAGAAGCTACTTGGCAGGTTGCAGCGCGAGTTGCCAAGAGTCTTGGATACACATTGGCAAGCACCTGGCAGCAGAGCATCCTTCAGGATAGGAAGCTTTCAGCCCGGACAAGCATATACTGTACAGAGTTATGCAGCTGAGTCTGGTCAAGGTTGCTATTGTACTGGTCCAAAACGTGTGAATACACTTCTGCTCCAATCTCAGGAAGTTGATCAACCCATACGGCCCCCGAATGGTGACGTCACGCTGGCTGTTGCACTCCATGCCGTGCTTCAAGGTCTTCTTGGCCCCACTCTATTTGGTCCTGGATTGTTGGTACAGGCGGCGCTAACCAGGCACTGGCCTTTATCCGTTCAGTGCTGACAAACTGGAGTACACGATGGAACTCGCACCTTGGATGGAGCGACACGCGAGGAGTGGATCTGGCTCGACGTTCCTTTTAATGTTGCAAGCTGCCAAGATGTGCTCGATGGGGTGCTGGGATCTGCATAGGGCTCGGCAACGTGAGTCTCAGGAGGGCCATGTTATGCAATGACTGGCTTCAGGGAAGCACAGCGGATGAGTCGGGGACTTCGAAAGGGGGCTGGGGCGACAGGAACCGATGCCTCGGAAAAGGAGGCCCAGAAGAAGACCGAGGAGCAGCTGGCCACCATCACGAACCAGCTGGCAGCTGTGGCCAGGAAGCCCGAAGGCTGCGGTCAGAAGACAAGGAGGTGAAGCTCGTGGCAGACAACGGCGAAGAGGTGGAAGCATGCATGACTAAACCCTGAACTTTAAGGGGTGTTGTCAGCCCCTACATAGCCGCCAAGAACGCTCACACTCGGTTCATGTTTGTCCTGCTGCAGTTCCGTGCTGGCCTTGCTTCGGAGATGGATTCGGGCCGACTCGCAACTTCCACGCGCACAAGGCAGAAGACGAGCATGATCGAGCATGTTTATGTCCTGCTTGCTCAATGTGCACAGGGTTGCCCCGGCACTGCAATTCTGGCTGGACCCCTGCCTTGGCTTTACAACGTCGACCTTGCGGACAAATGCTGGCAATTCTGACTCGACAGATGCGCAGCTGCGTCCCAGTGACGAATCCTTCAACATTTCACGCAGCAGTGGTAGGGGGATCTATATCATGGCTGACCCTACCTCTGTTCTGGGAGCGCTCCGGCAAGAAGCACAGGTCAGACAGACCGTCGCACTGCAATGTCCGATTGCTGAGTCTTTTCCCCTCGGTCCGAACCGCCCTTGCGCTGGTAGTTAGTTAGTTTTTTTGAGAAATTTGGCTTTTTCAGGATGCCGCGCGCGCGAGCGACGCCTCGAGAAAAGTCACTATGCAGTACCGTGCGAGATTGAGCACCCTAACTCCTAACGTTCGGGCATAATTGTGGATGCCATTGCGGCTGCCACAAGCGACAGAATGATGAGGTATGGAGGAGTATAGACTGAGGAGTTTGGCTCAAGTGTCGCAAAGCGATGTGTTGTGTAGCTGTTGGGTATCATGCAAGTTGCTTGTTTGGTCATGTCCCAGACGTGTATGTCCTCACCAGCTTGTGCCAGGCTACAGAGGGGAAGCTTTCGGATCCGATGTTGCCAGCGCTTCGAATCATCAAGGCTGGGGCCGGGCCAGAAATCACATATTTTGATTGATAGCAGCTGTGCTTCTCATGTTCTCCCGCGCCCCCACCTGATACTGCAACATACTGCAACATTCTACAACACGTGTAGTGTCCTGTAATGTCCTGTACTTCACGCTGTTGTGTTATTGTCTTGCTGCTGCTGTTAGGATCGCTGGGATTCGCTGAAGCATTTCTCGCTCTACGCGCTGTACCTGGAGTGCCACTTGGAGCTGGACACTAATGAGACAAGGAGTCAGAAGGTGTCGTCAAACTACTGCCGATACTAATTCTGATGATGGTGCTGGTAGGGAGTCTTGTGCAGTTGGCCCCTCACACGTCTTCAAACAAAGGCGAGCAAAAGCAGCTTGACTTCGGCAGAGACCTCAGCACATCTGGAGGGGACCGGGACAGGGATGAATCAGGATGGCAGATGCTTTCGGCGCAGCAATAATCTTTCCGGTTCTGAATGGTCGCTGCCAAAAAACAAGCCAAAAGCTGACCTAGTGTTCACTGTAGGATTCGAAGCTTGTTGTTGGTCCGCAACCTCTGGGAAAACCCTGCAACATTTCAGTTGCATACTTACAGAAGGATTAACCCTCAATCCACATTTCCAAATCAAGCTTTGCCCGAAACCTGAAATAGACGCTCAGAAGACTCAGACACGTGGCTCTTTTGTCAGTCCTTCAGTGGCATGTCTTGTCCCACCCAAGTGAGGCAGACATTCAAACTTTCAGACAATCAGACACTGAAGACATCATTCAGACAGTCAGGCATTCAGACGCTCAGCCAGGCAAACGTTCAGACACTCAGACACTCAGAATCCGGACCGAGACAACCCCCTTTCGAGACCCTCCGTTCTTCAATCATTCTCACGAGTTTTGCCTGCACAGAGCCTTTCAGCTCCGGCTTCTCCCAAGTACATCCCAAGCACCCCAGGCACAACAGTGGGGAATTTTTGGAGCTGACTGTCATTAAGTGTTTGTCCGAAGTGCACGCTCAACTTGTCAACCAAAGGCAGCAGCGACGACGAGCACTTGGCGTATTTGGTTCGAGCGTCGAACGTTCGCTTCCAAGCTGGTTGCTAAGGGTGGTTTGCTTGGCTGGGGCACACTTACACGTTCACTTAGGCCCAGATCGATCAGATTCTGCAGATCGACAAGGACACGACTGTCAAGCCAGGCAGCAGTAGTAGGCGGCATTCACTAGGATTCTCTTGCAGAGGACCGAATCATCTCCCACGACTCCATGGTGCCCGGACTTTGCCACATGCTTGGCGCAACTCTTCTGTTGTCGCGACCAGTGCGTTGACAGGTAACAGGTGAGTTTTAGAAACTTTAGTATCTTTAGTCTTTGACTTTCCAAAACCTTGAATCCGTTCCACCTGTTCAGGCTCAAGGCCATGCACTAACGTTCACTCATGTCGGGCCAGCCTAGATATCGAGACATGCCAACAGCAGCCAGTGCATCTCCAGTCAACATGTGTAAAACACCTGATGGTGCCTTCTGCAGCACATGAGCAGGGTGTAGAGATGTCCGCTTAAGGATCGACCAACTTCTGAGCTTTGAGCAAGAAAAGCTTGCACTTGCCTGTGGCCTGATCATATTCCGCAGGGGGAACAGAGGGGAACCGAGCCGCGAAACGTCAGAACCAAGCAAAGGAAGCAACGAACATTGCCCTCGAAATGAATTCGAGCTCCATGCCGCCATATGAGTTCCCAGGGCAAGGGGCTCTTTCGCTGGTGTCCTACGGCCGTTAGCTCCGACACCCCTCCCAGGCGGGTTCTCACTGCCCAAGACTGCAAGATCAGCTCAGGCTTCGCAGGCTTTTGCAAGCTTTGAACAACATCCAGCCTTCTGACAATCCGATTGTGCCCTCCCTGTCCCTGGCTTCCCTGCGTTGCAAAGCATCGGTTCCAGGCATCATGGCGCGCATGATCCAGGTTAAGGGTGATCACCCGCAAGGCTCCGAAACCTGATTCAGACACCTTCAGGAACATGATGAAACATGACAGTGTTTGCATAGTATGCTGGCGTGTGTCCTCCTTGAATCTGAGGCTTGGCGCTGTGCACGCGGATATGGCTCATGCAAGGGACTCAGGGCATGGATTTCGCGTAGTGGCCATCTGGAAAGGGAGCCAGCCGTCTTGTGTATCCATGCTGTTGACGAAGGCAATCCATGGAGAAAGAGTTCGGCAAAGTGGCACACTGCAAGAAGCCGCCGACAACAGGCAGGCATTGCACAAAAAAACGAGCAGCATGGGGGTGGGCCATGGAGCCGCCGGATGTGGATGTCATGTCAGGCGACCCGGAAACGGATGTCGCCTTCGTCCAGTTTCAAAGCCAGCAGGCTTGTGGGATCGTCGGGTCATTGACTTTTTTTTGTGCCGCCGCAGTGGGCCGGAGGATGCAGACCGGGCGGTGGAGGCCCTGAGGCAGGGCCTCACACTCAGCACCACCTGGCAACTTGGCGGTTTGCTGGACAGGTTCCTTTCCTTCCTTCCCTCTTGCATGCTTCGAGCCAGCAAGACCAACTCATGCCTGGTCCAGTTCAGGCAAGGCATCACGCTGAACATCAGAGGCGCCGCACTGCTGCACTTCTGACATGATTCTTATAGCTTTGTGGCTTCGTGGGCCGGTGTAGCTGACAGTACAGTATGACGGATTCGCAGCGTGACAGCGCGGCAAGACTGCTACCAGTAGCGAGGAGACAGCAGCAACGTTTTTTTGCCTGAAGCGGAGCACAATCTCTCAACCCGACCAGCAGAACATGTCAAAGACATGTCAAGAATTGTCAAGGCAGAGGGGCTCGTTTCGTCTTGGACTTTTGGACTCTTGGACAGCCTAGGATTGGAAGCCTGGTGAAGGAGGCAGGGGTGGAAGCAAGCCCAGACTTCCGGCCGCACCTGTTGACGTTGGTGGACGGCCGCACCTGTTGTCGTTGGTGGATGATGCTTTGGGGATGCTGTTGGGACTGGTGCCTGGTGCGACCATGTGGGACCATCCCCCTCCAATTTTGCGAAACTTTGTAGCCGACCAATACGGATTCGGGGGTGCAGTCGCACAGGAGAAATGTTTCCCCGAGGAGCCATGCAAAACGTTACATGCGGAAGACATTTGGGTTCTTAGCCTTGAGGGCATTCTCCGGATTCTTTTTTCCGAGCGCTTGTGCCGATTAGTTGTTCGCTGTACTCTGATCGATCTGCAGCCTTCTCGGAGTCCTGATGAGAGTTTGAGTGTTTGGCTATACATACATTCGTACACATACATATCTATATTGATTTATGTATTGATATCTATATTTATATGCGCTCAGGCGTGAAATTCCGTGAAATTCCTCCACAAAACGCTGGGATTGCTCGCGATGGCAACATGTTGGGCGTGAAATTCCATGAAATTCTGAAATTCCTGGAGCAACACCGCAAAACGCAGGGACGCAGGCTTAGGTTTAACGATGATTTTAGGGTTGAGGGCAGGTTACGGAACCGTTATGAACCTTTCATTCGGATTGTGCCACGTTTTTGTTCCGAGTTCATCCTATGCGGTATCTTGTTCTTCACTGAGGGGCTCTCCTCGCCCTCACCTGGGCCTCCCCCAAATCCAGAGCTTGGAAAGTGTTGGGGAGAGTCAGCGATTTGTTGTGGATTTGAGGTGCATGGAGGTTTATATAGAGGTTGGAACTCGATGTTTGGGAATTTGGGAAGATACGTTTCTGGTTCACTGTTGTTTAACTTTCCTCTCCCCAAAAGTGAGACACTGTTCAGCGCCCAAAGCCACTTCGGCTGTGAGGAGTAAGCCCAGCCACAAGGGAGGCTCTGGCCGTGGCAGCCCTACCCAGCAGGTGCTCGGCACCAGGGAGCACTTGTCACATCGTTGGCCGGGTGTGGGGCGCAGCACGAGGGCGAGGAGACATACATGGCTGTGGGTCAACTTGACCCGCATCCATGTGGTGACAAGCTGCGAATGTTGGCCGCTCACTGAGCGGCCCATTTGCAGCGAGAATCGGATGTGGTGTTCCCCATTTCTGTGGAGTTCATTCACATTCTGCTTGTGGTGTGTTTTGGGTGACCCACCGAAGTCATCTGAAGCATGCCACATTCCCTCCTCAATGTCAGGGCGTTTGAGGCCAACCCACTTGGTGTCGAGTGGATGACAGTGAGACGATGGGCTAACAGTGCTCACTGGGCGCCCTCTGATCCCCTCGGGATTCTCCGAAGGGGTCAGCTCGTGTATGCTAGCAGGGGAGGCCATTGCGGGCATGTCAGGTGATTCAACTTGCTCGGTCTTGCCTTGTGGTCGACGCGTCCATGCGTCTCAATTGTTTCAATAGGTCTGCAGGGCCTTCGTTCTTTCAGTTGTTCACCGTGGGAGGAGCTCTCAGAAAGGCCCAAACGAAGCTCGCTGAAACCGTTGGATGGGGCATGGCTCCATTCTCCCATCCAGCCCCTCATCAAGCCATATGTGCCCCAAGTCATCCAGATGACCCGGATGCTGCAGAGTATCGCGCAGAGTATCCGGAGTCAGCATCTCTTAGTCTATATATATATATACTACACAATCTACACAGCGTGTAGGCCAAACATGTTCGTTGAGCCACACACGAAAGCAACACCAAATGGAATAGTTCCATGCAGCCGGCTTTGGTTCTAGAGCAGAAGGGGCTACCTCAATGTCGCAGACACAAGGGGGTGCAGGAGAGGCAAGCTTACTCTAAACTTGGCAGGGGTGATAACGGTCGAATCCAATACAAAAAGGTGTGGAACAGATAGCCTCAGATCCCAACATGCACAAAGGGTGGTCTTAGTTCCACGTAGCATCGGTTCGATAGCAGGTAAGCCGTGTTTTCGAGATAAGGCGTAAAAACGCCTGGAATAGTGAGCTCTAATCTCCAACCGTTACGATGGCTGCCCAACACGAGGCCTCAAAAAATGGAATGTGCACAATATAGCCCTTAAGCCCAAAATTCAGAAGATGGGGGAGGGGAGCGGCTGATAAGTGGCGAGTCGATAGTAAACATGAAGAAGCCCTGAAGTCAGAACGGAACCCAAGCCATCAGTAGCTATCGCCACAGTCTACAACACGACCCCGCTTTGGCAGATTAACTTTATTTCTCAAGAGCATAGCAATGGCACAGCCAAGGCTCCAGTTTCGTGAAGTGGCAGCCAGAGACCGTGGACGAGCCTCAGCTGCACCGGAAGCTCCATCCCCGAACCGCCTAAAAATATTCTGATTATTATGGTGCAACGGTTTATCTCTGGCATTGCTAGAGTCGGATAGAGTTATGTTTGTCGAAGACCCTGGCACGGAAGGACTCTCGCAGCTTTCTCACCAACAACCGCCCGGCTCGAAGCCGAAGTGGTCGCAAGGACGACAGGCCATGCGAATGAACAATTCTTTGATTCAACAGCAGAACAGATGCGCATGACACGGTGGCACATTTTTGTTGGGAGTAGTTGAATACCGGCTGAATAGTAGTCAATACCTTGCCGTGACGTGATTGCGAAAGAAAAACGGAAGAGTCAAATTCACCAATATGTCGATCTGTCTCAAAACAATCTATCTGTTGCCTGTCAGGCGAAGTGACAGAAGAGAAGACAGACGCGATGACCGTCGCGACGAAAGGCGGGGCGACCGCCGCGATGACCGAAGAGACGACCGAAGCTACCGTGACGATCGGCGAGACGACCGTGACCGCAGGGACGATCGTGATCGCCGTGACGACCGTGATCGCCGCGACGACCGTGATCGCCGCGACTACCGTGATCGCCGAGATGACCGTGATCGCCGAGATGATCGTGATCGCAGGGATGATCGTGATCGTCGAGATGACAGGGACCGACGGGACGATCGCGATCGCCGGGATGATCGGGACAGAGACTCCAGGAGAGATGACCGCAGAGACGATAGAAGATACGATGGTCGTGATCGCCGAGATGACCGCAGAGACTCCAGAAGACGAGATAGCAGTCGTTCCCGAGATGACCGACGAGATGAGCGAAGGCACGGAGATTCAGATCGTGACTACGATCGTCGGGGTGACCGCAGAGACGACAGACGTGAGGACCGCAGGGATCGCAGGGAGGAGGATCGGAGAGATGACCGGAGGGACGAGAAGGATGATCGGAGGAGCGATCGCTATGAGCCTCGTGGTCCAGATGACGGCGAAAGTGATAGAGCTGGGAGGCTGGAACCTGAGAGTTTGCTGATCCCATAACTTGAGCCGTCCGTGAAATGTGTGACAGTGCATGACAGTGTGACAGTACCATGATGTACCATGCTCAGGTCGCAGCGAAACGGCCATGATGGCCGCGATCTGGAAGACTTCGACCCTGCGTCCATGCAAGAGGAGCTTCGGCGGCAGCGGGAGGAGCTGAACGCCTCGAAGATGCGAAAACTTGATAGCCGTGCTCGATGAGCTCGCTGACCAAAGCTCGGATCGGCAAGCTGTCAGAACGGCTACATGGAAAATGGGCGTGTGCACTCGAGTCATACTGCCACAGCTTTGATGACCCACTGCAATCTACAGTCGCACTGCAGCTGCTGCGTGTTTCCAAAGTTCAGTGTCACTGTTCTCTCCTGAGCGTAGCCGCAGCCAACTGCCAACTTGAAGCGTGAAAAGCGCACAGGTTACGACCTGCTTCGCGAGAATGCAGAGTTGCGTAAGATGACGAATTCGCTATCACCTCAGCTGCATGGCGAGCTGTGTGGACTTGAGTTGTTTCAAAGACGAAAGCAGCAAAGCTGAGGTACCAGCTGCATGTCTTAATGCTGTACCAGGGGAAGAACATCTCCGATGCTAGCATAGGCACGTGTGCATTGCATGCTCCTGTCATGATGCTTGACCGCCTGGAGCGCTCGTCTTGTGAAGTTGGCGGATCAGGCATGTCAACTGAAGTGGACGATACAGGCTCCGAGCTAAGACAAGAGCAACTTATGTTTGGATTTAATGGCTTTGGAGGTGAAGACTGTGTGCCATGCCAAGTTTGCATGGTAATGCCTTCCGAAGTCTCACATCGTGTTTGACCCCCCCGTCCCCCCCTTGAATTGCAATCACATGCTGGACATGATCTGCGGCCATGGCCCCGCCCAAAGCAGGACGAACTGAACAGGACGCTTTCAACGTAAGTGTTCCACTCTGGGGTACAAGCACTGCAGCCCTGCAGTGCCGGAACTTCCTTGCTGATTCGATGCACCCCGCAACATTGTAACATGTCAGAGGTATCATATCGCGAATGCAACTACCCACTGCTCTGGCACGAGGATAGCAGAAGCTGCGCCAGTAACCTTGAGCAGTGACTGCCATGCAAGCTTTGGATGGTTTCAGGTTCCAATTGCCCTGACCATGCGACGAGTTGTTCTTCAGCACAAGCCGCAATCAAGTTTGCACCAAGGCTTGGCAGCTCTCGAAGGCGGCGCTATCCTCGGACATGTTCTGGACATATTATGGTACGTTTAGGCCGAAGATTGACTGAAGCTGGGCAAACACCAGAAGGGAGAAGATGCTGAACAAAAGTTCGACGGCTAATAACGTAAACCTACGACGGTTCCTGTAATGGTTTGTATTGAAGTAGAAATTGCTAGTAAAATCCCGATGTTCCATCACTTTGTTTGTGATCAAAGATATGATGGCAAAAGAAATTTCATTAGCAATGTAGAATTCCAGGGTTCGCTTCGCCTTCATCGTAAGAATGCTGCCATGAAGATTAGCGAAAATATGCTCTGGAAGCGTCGAAACTTTGAATCTGAAGCAATGCTGCCTTTAGCAGAGATCAACACCAGTATAATCTTCTATCTGGATCCAAAAGGACCGGTCAGCAAAGGCCCTCTGAATCTGAATATGAATTCAAATGGAAGGGCCTTTGAGTTCATACACATCACACATCACAGCATGTTGAGGGTGAGGAGTAGAGCGTCCATCCAGCAAACTTTCGCAAAGACGCATAGCGCCAGAAGGCTTTTGCATGCATGGCACTCGCACTCTTGAGTTCTAGTGATTCTAGTCTCGTGATGTTGACCATAGCACTTTTGGAGCGCATGTGTCAAGGAGGCAAAGGGAGTCTGAGTGCAAAAGCATCCCCCGGCCTCCAGACCAGGTACAGCCCCGATGATGACGTCGATGTAGAAAAGTGGACGGCCCATTTGCCGAAACGACGGGAGCCTTGCCATCCAGAATCAAACTTCACAACATGGGGCGCAGGCAATCTGGGGCAAGGTCTTGGCTTCGGCTTAGGTTACGCAATTTGTGCACAAGCCACATGCAGAAAGAACCCCGTTTCTGCGGGGCGGAACACCGTCAAGGACTTTTGTGAACCATAAAGTAGCTGTGCAGAGGAGACCGGCACCCAAGGCGTGAGGGTGTTCCAGGCCACATGGTCTCACTGCTTTCAAAAGCTTCAAACATCAAGACCGGCACCACTCACCCGAATTCACCACTCACTCAGCTGGATTACTGTGGCGGGTTCCTGAAGAGGTGTAAGGTTTTCGTCGAGGCACAGGCAGCTCGTGTCGCCTCAAGCTAGTTTCCCTCCGGTCCGGGCGAAGCCCTGCCGGGAACGACCAGTCCGACTTGGCGTTAAAACCAGAACACGACCTCCAGCTTTGGACAGGAGCATGTTCATGCCGCTTCATACCTCCGAAGGTTCGAGACATTTTCTGAGAGAGATAGAGAGGGAGAGAAGACCTCTCGCAAGAAAGAAGAGAGTTATAGGAAGCATGAGAGAAAGAAAGATTGAGAGGGAGAGGCAGAGTGAATCTCCCACTTTATTACAACCATTCCCTCGTCCATCAGCCGGAAAACCCTTCGCTCCTTGCTCAGAGTGGTTGCCGGGATTTCCATTTCACCCAATCGGAGAAATCTAGGAGGGGCCTTCGGGCCCTGTAAGCCCTACGCAAGAAGGAAGGAAAGAAACAAAGTGACCATCGTTCGGGGGTACAGGCAGGGCAGAGGATGTTGGTCGGAGGTTTCGCCTTTTGAGCCCTGTGCAGGATACGGTGAGAAAAGAGAGTCTATGGAGGGCCCGATGTTTGGAGACGCAACATTGGCCTGGCTCGTTTCGCACGGGATGTGTTGACGGAGCGCCTGGAGCGCAGGCTCGGAGTGAGCAGCCAAGCAACTCTCTAAGCAAGAGGTAAGCAAAGAAGGGCCGTCGTGAGGTTTCGCAGCTTTTGGAGAGGGGAGCACAGCCTAATCAGATGTTGAGTCTTGGGCTGCCGTGAGCTGAGGGTTGTGGAGCTTGGAAATGACATGCCGTGGGCCACTCAGGCCCGCCCCCGCACACAACACTCCAAAACCTGGCACGATTCGCCGTCGCCATGGCGACGCCGGCCACTCCAGCCTGCCTGGTGCAGGTCGAGCCCAGGCATGATGGATCGAGGGTAGTTTAACTTGAGATGTTTGAGACTTGGACACAGACGAAAAGTCCGGAGTATTGCTGCTTGCTGCTTAATGCTTCGTTTTCGTTTCCAGGCCACCAGCGGTGCGCTTGCCACTGGATGTTGCAAGGCCACCGGGCATGCTGGTCTTTGCAAATCACGTGCCAGTGAAGTTTGGACGAACTTCTTGGCGCAGGCCCCGCATTTACGTGTATTCTCATATTGTCATCACAAAACAAACATGTTTGGCGAAGTACACGCCCCCCTTGTGCATGTAGATTCAGTTGGCTTAAGGTCCTGAGGCGAGTAGCCAGGATCCTCTGTGATGCACATGCAGCAAGCACCTCAATGCGAAAAAGGCAAGACTCAGCTATTGAACATGTAAAGCCAACAAGAGTCTCGTCGGCCAGATCACGTTTCTACACCTCCATGCCAACGTTGAACACGTCAGGTCTTGTCGCCAAAGCACCGTTCGCTGGAGGAGGTGCCCATCAGGTTTTAGCTTGGCTGAGCTACATTCTACAGCCCAAAAGGTGCCTGGCACAGCTATCAGATTCAGCTTAGCTGCTTAGCTTATGTTGGATCAACTTAAGCAGGTGGGTCCCCCTAAAAAACGACAAAGTTGGGACCGCGCTCTTGCTGCAGGGGAGGGGGGGGGGAGTGGGGTTTGCGCCACTGCTGGACTCTTCTATTTTCGACCCTGGTTGCCGGGAGTTCAGGCAATCGGAGAAATCTAGGAGGAGCTTGGGGCAGGGACAGAACTGATGCATTCTGATCTCCGACCTGGTCACGCGAGTTTTCTGTTTCAGGAGCGCACTTAGAGCGCATGGCCTTCGAGCCGTATAAGCCCTACGCAAGAAGGAAGGAAAGAAACAAAGAGCAACACTCTCTAAGCAAGAGGTAAGCAAAGAAGGGCCGTCGTGAAAGCCCTCCAAACCCTATAATAAACCCTATAAACCCCATAAACCCGAAAGACCCTAGAAACCCTAAAGACCCTAGACCCTATAAACCCCAGAAACCCCAGAAACCCTATAAACCCTATAAACCCTATAAACCCTAAACTCTAAACCCTAAACTCTAAACCCTAAATCCTAAAACGCGCACAGCACCTGACTTGAGCGGCTGCAGGATCAAACATGAGTTCAAGACGAAACGTTAATGGCAAGTGCTTGAAACTTTCTGGGGGCTTCATCCTGTCTGTGACCTTTTTGCAGAGCAGCCCTGGTCCTTGTTCAAACGAAGGTCGAGCCACTGAGGTCTGAACCTTCGCCACAGCCATCACCACCGCCATCATCACCACCTGATATTCAGCGCTTGTGGTCAGGGTTGAGGGTTAGAGTTGGGCTTTAGGGTTTAGTGTTTGGGGGTTTGGCGCATTATGATGACGACACCTGCGACTTCGGGTGCTTGGCCACAAATGACTTCCACCACATCGTTGCATCCTACAATGGCGAGTACGCCTGGGGAAGGCCTCGCTTGCTGCAGCTTCAAGTGCGCCGAGGGCGTCAGGCTTCCTACGGCCCAGGCTTTTCGGCCTTCTAGGCTGTCGAAGCTTGGGCTTCAGGGTTGTGAATGGGCACCCCAACCACCCCACCCCAATGCTTTTCATGCTATTAGGTTCTACATGTTTGTCGGCTGATCGTAGGTGAGGAAGTGGGACTTTTACTGCAATTCCCTTGAGCGCCGCTATAGTTGGCAAACGGGTTTGGGCTCCTGCGGCTGCAGCCCTAAAAAGCAGTCGTGGCAGATGCCCAGAATGTCTGCGCCCTGCATCCTCCGTTTCCTACACACTTCCTCACCCAAAACACCTAAAATCCCAACCCCTTTCCCGCCACAAAAAGCAAGGTTTCAGGGCTTAGAGACAACAGGCTTGCAAGAGAGGGTTTAGAGGTTAGAGGGTTTAGAGGGTTTAGAGGGTTTAGAGGGTTTAGAGGGTTTAGAGGGTTTAGAGGGTTTAGAGGGTTTATAGGGTTTGGGGTTTAGGGTGATTACAATCTGCGCCATGTTGTCTTGCTTACTGACTGTTGTTTGGTCATGGGCCTCCCGGTTGTTTGCCTTCCTCTATCAGCTGTGGCCACGCACTGGTTCACAGCCCGACGGCACAGACTGGCCTGATGTAGAACTGGGTTGTTCAGAAGTCACGCCCGTGCTTGGTAAAACGTCTGTGGGTGAGTCAGCAGAAAGTTGGGTGTCGCAGCACAACTCTGCCGCTGGAAGCTCCGCTGGATGTCTAGAACCCTTGGATGACTTGTGCGAAAAGAAACCCATTGGTGAGCTCTTGGCAGTGGCCCAAGATTTAGAGCTTTTGAGTGGTTACGAAGCAACGCTGCACTTCTTGTTGTCCAGAGACACAAGCGACAAGCTGAAGCTGTCCTGCAGAACGGCTCTCCTTTGTGTGCAAATGGCACAGCAGAAAGGGGAAGAAACATGGTGCTTCTGCAGCCGTGCAATAGCTGCGGCAGGCGTGGATTCATATGAGGAAGCCGACAGGAGTGAGAGTGCCACAGTCGTAGTTGACGCTGAAACTTTGCGCCACATGCGCGCCTTTGCTTCTAAGCTGTCTGTGTCTGTGTTGTCCCAACTTTTGAATCGGGTGGGGGACCACTTGCCCCTGCATCGAGAAACCTTTGGAGATTGCCGCCGTGGACCCTGTGCTGTGTGTGGAGAACAAGGAGACATGATTATGACCTTTTGCAGCGACAAGCACGCGCTGCGCATGGCCTGCGCAAGAAAGTTGTTGCCACGGTCGCTTCGCTGTCCTTCTTGCCGGTGTGATTGGCGGCAAGACATGATTGACATGTTCGAATCAAGAAATTGAACTGACAGGTTTTTTCTTTGACATGCGCGCGTTCTCTCTTGACTTGGCCATCGATTGCACAGCTACAAGGGGCCGATGGCGTGGGCGTGCTGGGTCTTTTTTACCTGGGATGGCGGCAAGAGCGCTTGGTCATGATGTGCTGCGTCTCGCCTGGTAGCAAATCTTCAAACACGATGCTTTGAGTACAGGTGCCTAGTCCTGGGCTACTGACATAATCTGCCCAGAATCTCCGTTCAACGAAAACCCCAAACCCTGAAACCATGTAATCTGCCGTCAGGAGATGCGCGCTTCGGGTCGGCGCGAGTTGGGCGAGCCATGGATGGCGGGCCACCCCAGAGGTCCAGTTGCAAAAGGGTTTAGGGTTTAGGGTTAAGCCCCAAGCCCAGATGCAAAAAGAGTTCGGGTTTAGGGTTTGGGCATCAGCGGCGGGGCTCCAAACTCGGTAGACGCCCTACACCTAGGCCACTAGACCCTTGGTGCTTTTAGGGGTTAGAGCTTGAGCTTGGTGGCTTGTGTGATCCTCGCTGCCTTTTTTGACCCTTGATCAAGTTCCCCCCGCCCCCCGCCGTGGCTGGCCAGGAGGGACAGCTGGAACAGTGTGCACATGATGATGCTCCCCCCAAAGCAGACAGAATGAGGCATACAGGTAGGCAGGGGCTCTAGTGGCTTTTAGTTTTGGCTAGTCCGGTGGGCGGTGCTTGCATGACAGGTTCCTGTCCTGGGCGCCTTCCAAAAAAAAACTGAGAATAGAGCTGCTCAGGCCATACCCTGCCTGTTTATATACCCAATTCAGCCTTGAATCCCAAACCCCACACCACCCCCTACACCGTAAGCTCTCGACCTGAGCTGCAACGGAATCCTCACGCCGCCACTCCTCATCTCCATCTGCAAATTCTTTTCGCGCCCACCGAGGATGAGCGCTACCTCTCATGCTGCTTCAAGGGCACTGGTGAGGTGAAGAACGTGCCTCTGGCCGAAGTTAGGTGTAGCAAAAGCTTGAGTCAGCACTGCCAGCCATGCTTTGAGGCTTCAGGAGAACCCTGAACCTGTGCTTTCAGAGACCATGGAAGGGGTCTGCGCGGAATAAGTGCGATGCGGTTGTCGGTGGCCTGACGCTCCAGATTCGGTGTTGAGTTCGCGTATGCGGGTCTTGGGCTTGGGGTTCGATTCGGCGGTGTCTCACTTCCACGGTCCTAAGGATGGTTTTGACATGCATGTGCGGTCAACGTCGTGCTGGGCCCTCCTGCACCGAAGAAGCAGCACGCTCGAAGCCTCCTGAACTGGTCCTGTTTACAGCTTGGGGGATCTTGGGATCCCTGAGCCCTAAACCCTAAACCCTAAACCCTAAACCCCCCCCTCGCAGCACACTGCCCAGATCACAATCAAGAAGAAGGATGCTCGAGGGGCCAAGTAAGTCGCTTGGAACTCCATTCAGAACCCCTCCTCTTTTGTTTGTTTTTGGCAGGCGGCGTGGACGAGGCACGGCTCCACGCATAAGTTTGCGAGCTGACTGGTTGTTTGTTTCTGCTAGGAGAGATACAAACTGTGACTTGGCTTGCAGACGTGAGGATGTGTCATCCATGTGCAGGGGCCATGCTACTCACTCTCTGCTTGGATGGGCCCGTGCTTTTTTTGCTTAGCCAGACGCAAGAAAATGTAGCTGCTTGCGCTGCTTGTGCTTCTCGGGCCACAAGCAGCCCAAACGATCCAAGCGATGGCAGTCAGCCCTGGGTTTGCTGAAATGGCTTGGCTGAGCTTCGAGAGGCCGGAGTCACTGCCGTCGGGGTGCATGTTGCTTGTTCAACGCAGCCGACGCAGCCGTGTCCTCCTGCGCAAGCGGGGAGTGACGCTGGGCTATACAGCTGCTGCGTGTGACCGCAGCTGGAAAGATTCGCAGTGGCAAGAGGTGCTCTTTCTCCTTCATACTTTGCATGTGGGATTCTTGCTGGTCCATCTCGTCACGTACAGCCCGGCGACCAGCCTGTCAGTGCCCGTGTTTTTGCCAAGGTGCAAAGCTGCTGATATCGACGTTACTGAACACCTGAAGCCCCATGTTGTACTCTACAGCGCTGCGCTGCCGTCAGCTCTTGCGAAAAGGCTGCCTTTGTGTGCAAATGGCACAACAGAAAGGGGGAGAAACATGGTGCTTTTGCCGCCGCGCAATAGCTGCGGCAGGCGTGGACTCATGTGAGCCGACAGGAATGAGAGCGCCGCAGTCGTAGTTGACGCTGAAATTTTGCGCCGCATTCGCTCCTTTGCTTCTAAGTTGTTGTCTGTGTTGTTCCAACTTGTGAACCGGGTGGGGGACCACTTGCCCCTGCATCGAGAAACCTTTGGAGATTGCCGCCGTGGACCCTGTGCTGTCTCCAAAGCCCCCCAACCCCAGCCTGCCATCCCACACCCTGCAATCCCTGAAGCGGCCCATACTAACCCCTCCCCCCTCGCACCCCCCCCCCCCCCCCCCCCCCAAAACAAGGTCTTCGGGACCCAGAGAGTGCAGGTTCAAGGTTTCCAGAGTTTCAGCGCATGGAGTTCAAGTTTGAGGCTCCAAGCTTTTGCTGGGGTTTAGGGGCCTAGGCATTGGGGTTGAGGGTTTAGAGGCTTCGCAGGCTCCAGGCTCAGGGAATGAAAGCTCCCCAAATCACAACACCTCCACCCAAAAAAGCAGAGATCTTGATAGTGCCACAAGAGCGAAACAGAAATACGGCGGGGAGGCCGAGGTAGGGGATTCCTGGTCCAGGGTCGGGTTTGGAGGTTTCCTGGAGGTGCGGTTTTGATATTGCCCTCACAGCGAAGCTGAATTCTCAGTCTCGCTACCCCTGTGCCTGTCGCGAAGAGGACGAGATGTTGCAAATCCCTTCGCCGCTCCCTGGCAGGCTTCATGCCCAGATTACCCGCAGTATAGTGGCCTTTGCCCCGTGACTGTGTCGGGTACGATCCGCAAGCCGGCAGGTAAGGGGAAAGCAGTTCGAGCGGCGTCACAGGGGGTTGTGCTGAGGCCTCGCACAAGAAGCTTGGACTTGCAGGCCTGTTGTCTCTAAGCCCTGAAACCTTGCTTTTTGTGGCGGGAAAGGGGTTGGGATTTTAGGTGTTTTGGGTGAGGAGGTGTGTAGGAAACGGAGGATGCAGGGCGAATAAATTCTGGGCATCTGCCACGACTGCAGTTAGGGCTGCAGCCGCCGGAGCCCAAACCCGTTTGCCAACTATAGCGGCGCTCAAGGCAATTGCAGTAAAAGTCCCACGTCCTCACCTATCCTCACCTACGATCAGCTGACAGACATGTAGAACCCAATAGCTGATGAAAGCCATTGGGGCTGAAGCCCAAGCTTCGACAGCCTAGAAGGCGTAAAAGCCTGGGCCGTAGGAAGCCTGACGCCCTCGGCGCACTTGAAGCTGCAGCAAGCGAGGCCTTCCCCAGGGGTACTCGCCATTGTAGGATGCAACGATGTGGTGGAAGTCATCTGTGGCCAAGCACCCGAAATCGCAGGTGTCGTGATCATAATGCGCCAAACCCCCAAACACTAAACCCCAAAGCAACCCTGACCACAAGCGTTGAACAAAAAAACCCTTACCTTACACACCGAAGGATGAACCCTTAACACTAAACCCTATTGACCTCGATCTCTAAATCTTTAGTTTGGGTATTGGGCACCACAGGGCTTACTTTGCTGAGCTTGCTCTTAAAATTGTTTTCCGGTTGTCTAAGCTTTGAATTTCGAGGCCCTGGCCGCTTGGCTGATTTGAAGGCGAGGGCCCATTTTCTCTTAATTTTCATTTTTTAACTGTTTTTTCCTTCGCCTCCAGTTGCAAGAACTGTCAAATAAGAAACTTGCTTCGACCACCTGTTGACCCTGCAGGGCTACTCTGTGGTGCTGGGACGTCTGGGGAAAGGCACATTCTCTGCGGGCCGGCTCTGGGGATACTCTGCAGGATTCACACACTGCATATTTGGTTATGCACTCTATGGGGGGGATACTGCGCGACATGTCTGCGATGGCATGGGGTGGGGAAAACCATATGCCAAACTCTAAGAATGTGCTCCCGAACCAGTCGGCAAGCGGGCAGTCCATGACCAGCCAAGACCCTCCGGATTTGGCCCTTGGATTTCAACCTCTAGCCAAACAAGTTGGGACTCCAAAACCTACAGGGCGGGAGGGGGGGGGGGTGTTGGAGACCTTTAGGGTCCTCACACCCCTGTGGTTCACAGGGATGTGTGCGGAGCCCCATCGAGTAGAGGTACACGGCATGGACCACAACCATGCCTAGGCTAAGCCGCTCTGGCCATATCCGCAGCCGTCACCAAGCAGCTGCAGTATCTTTCAGAATATCTGTGGAACTGTGGAAACTGCAAGATGAGTGGGGTTCCAGCTTGGCACCCTGGCTGTCTGAGCAGAGTCATACGCCCTAAGCCCTGAGCAATACGACTTGGGTGTGCCTCACCCTTCCTGGGCAAAAAGATCTGGACAGATGATCCCTTAAAGCCATGGAAGCAGAGCTCCCCGGATACATCAAGAAGTTCGCGGCGGTTTTGGACCCACTGCAGGACGCCTGTTCACGACATGAGGGGCGCATCGTGCAGATACGATGTCGACTTTGCTGAAGTACAAACAGGCCAGTAGCAAACAGCTGCTGCTGCAGAGTGTCGTGGGGTCCGTGGCCAGGAGATAAAGTTTAGACACGAATCGGCAATACGCGAATCATGCCAAGTCCCTTTCTAAATTGTTTTTGCTGCCTTTGGCCATGTACTCCGAAGCGTTTCTTTCCGATGAGTCGTTGGCAGGAAGATGCCATGGTGGCGGTTGTAACCATGACTGGCTCCTGCTGTCCCATCACGACCGCACACTGCAATGCGTCACAAGGCTTTGTTTTGCTTAAGAACACCCGCCGGCACAACTTTCCCTGCTCGTACCAATTATATTGTAGTTATGTATTCAGGCAGCAGTGACCAACCCAGCTGACAAAGTGTGCCGACTTAACAAGCATTCGATAGGCTGGTCTTTGCATCCGGTCGTGTTAGGCCTGCCGAGTGGAGAGCTGCCATAACTTCCTCACCTGCGCAGCTCAGGTTTGACACCGCTCGAAATGCCCTTCTGGGCATCGAGGCCAGCAATCTGACTCGAGATGACTCAAACTGTCGCGCGCAGGTTCACAAGTTTTTTGAAGCGTTGTGCTTGTGCGAGGGCTTCAAGCCGTTGCCGAAGCTGGAGAAGTTTACCGAGGTCCTGGGCCTGTTGTCGCTGACTCGCTGCAGCATATCAGGGCCCTGATTTTTTCACCACCTTCGGTGTGGGGTTGTTAGATTTTGAACTCAACTCTTCTCCTCGCCCGGAACTCTTCTCTTTGCCCGGCCTACTCCTAGAGACAACCCCAGAGACTCCCTGGAGTGCCCAACCCCAGAGACTCCCGGAGTGCCCAACCCCAGACTCCCTGGAGTGCCCAACTTCAAAGACCTTGGAGTGCCCAACCCCAGCAGTGCCCAATTTCAGAGACCCTGGAGTGCCCAACCCCAGAAACTCCGAGTGCCCAACCCCGAAGACTCCCTGGAGTGTTCAACCCCAGTGACCCTGGAGTGCCCAAGGGGGGCAGGACGGCCAAAAATTCCAAATCCCCAAGGTGGGGATGTTCGAAGTAAAACAATTAAAGTTGTTTTTCGGCTCATGATGTAGGGCACTTGAAGTATTTGGGCTTCAGGAGGGCGATTAGAGCGACACAGAGAGACAGAGAGAGAGAGAGAGAGAGAGCGACGGGGGCTCCCACTGGGGGTCCTCCTCGCTGGGTAGAAGAAGAAGAAGAAGAAGAGAGAGAGAGCGACAACGCCCGTTGAGAGACGTGGGATCGGGGCGCGCCTAGGCGCAGGGTCCGTCCCGTCCCTATATGCCCCAAAGAAAGAAAGCAAAGACAACGCCCTTCAAGCCCCGTAGTGCAAATCTGGTCAAATTTCGTCGACTGTCAGAACAGACACTTTGTGCACCTCATTTATCACTCTTGGAGTGGCCAAGCTTTCCCATGTCAGGAACAGCGACAGGCATGTGGACGAAAAGATGGCCCGCCAACGTGAAAAATCTGTGTCATATGCGCACCGCGCAGATCTGGTCAAGCTCGCACCAAGGCCGCATTATGCCATTCTGGAGTGGCAGGTTTGCCTGTACGAGCGTAGATATTTCAAGCAAATTCTTGTCCAACCCTGTTTATCTTTAATCCGGAACAGCTCCGCCACTCAAAGGACGTTTCGTTCCTACAAATACCCAGGCTTCTGCCGAAGTGCCTTGGATGGATTTCAACCCGGGCAGAGAGCATCATGCCCCTGGGACGATTGAGGAGCTCACGTAGGCCACGACCGCGGTTTCTTTGGCCTAGAGGAGCTTCGATACTGTGAACGGCTGATATTCCGGTATGGAAACTTTCCTGTTCCATGAACTGATGAAAGAATCACGCAGAGGCGCTCATCGGACCTCGCAATTGTTGCGGTTAGCGCGGGAATTGACGTGCCACATGCCTCTCCATCTGGAATCTGAGAAAGGTTATTGGGCGCCTGCAAGTCTGCTGGCCTCACCTGCAGTTTGTGAGGCCGTTAGTGCACGTAATTGCTGCAGTGCTTTGTGCAATTTTGTGACACTTGGTTTTCACACCCTAGGGACGTTGGATTTCTGCAACCGTTGCAAGCGAACGAGTGCAAAATCTGACCATTCGCATGACTTCTCCCGAAGTTGTATCTGGGCCAAGCGTTCTCGCAGAGCAAGTTCATACTCTGCTGGGCAGGTTTGCTTTGAACGGTGCAGACGACGTCGTCAAGTATCGGAAGCCGCTTGATGACGAGAAGCGCACGTGAGCGACACACCTGCGCCTATACAATTGGGAACATGCATGTCATACAAGTGCTGTCCGAACAAGTCACATGAGACAACAGCAGCCTTCCTTCACCCGCCAAGGTGGAAGGGCGCGGGCCCTGAACACCGGTGCATTACAATTGGCCGCCCAGGCTTCACAGAAAAGGCTGGGCTTTGCTGGGCATAAGCCTAAGCTTCCAAGGCTTCCAAGATTGAAGGCACAGTTTCGGGGCCAAAACGGGGCATGGGTGTCTGCAAGGTTTTGCTTGGGTTGAGGAAGCAGCGGGATAGCCATCAACTTGTCCTATCCCCAGTGGAGTGGCGTGTTCGGGGACGGAAGAGTCATCAGGCTGAGAACCTGGGCTCAGGTTCTAGATGGAGCGCGCCGTGATCGTGTGGCCCTGGATCAAGGCACCACAATCACCACGCCAACTGCGCATTTTCCGGCCCGGTTCCTGCCAGCGGAGACTATAGACGCTGAATGGATAGTGCCTCTACGCTTTCGTTGTTCCAACTCTCCTGCATCCCACACACTTCCCGCGGGCTTGCACTAAATCCTGGTACAGGGTCCACATGCTGAAGATGTTCATTGCATGGTAGCGACGGCGCATGCCACGTTGGCAGCTTTCGGGGAGGCTTCTTCATCCTGGTCCCCGAGGGATCCGAGGCTGGGCTTCATGGCAGTCAGGGCAGCCCTGCGGTTCAGCTCGCGAAAAGACCCAGTACAATCAGTTCAACCCTGAAATCTCCGACCTCCCCTCAACGAGACCTGCAGATGTCTTGAGGTTTTTGTCTTCGGGTGGGTGTCCATCGTGTGTGTGTGTGTGTGTGTGACTGAGAGCCGCCTGTTCTCTGCGTTGCGTTCTGCCTCTGCACGCCGTGAAAGTGGAAAGCTGGTGGAAGTTGGAAGAAGGTGGCCGACGTGAGCTCCACGCTGGTCCGAGAACTCCTCCGGGCAGGGGACCGTGACTTTGGCAGAAAAGGAGCTCAAAGTTTTCTCAAAAGACCCTGCAGCCGTCAGGTGCGGGTGCGCAATATGTGAGAAATCACCGTCAAACATCGGCTGCTTCTGGATTCAACTGCCAGACTGCAGGAGGGGGGTGGAGCAAGACGGAAAATCCGTCGGTGTTTGTTTGGTTCCTTTTTATGGATCGCCAAGATCCTAGCAATGGCCTCGAGATGAGTCGTTTCTCTATGTTTTTCAATGCTCGAACACCGTGGTGAACACCGTAACGCTGAGGCCAAGGCCTTGAGCGGCTCCTTCATCCCCAGGCTGGAGGGCGGCAGTGCGTTGCAGTGCAGACTGCATTGCAAACTTCATTTGTGGTTTATAGTCATGGTGGACGATGGAGCATTGAGGTTGCCGACTGGCTCCTTCGGAGTGGGATCTACGGTCCGGCTGTGCGCCCGCTTGCCGCCGCTCCTGGCACTTGAAGATTGCGAAACAAAAAAGAAGATTATGTCAGCACAGCATAAGTGTGCCGAGCAAGGCTCACTTGTGCATTGTCGCTGCTGCCACATGAGCCCTCCGAAGCAGTGCACTCCACAAGCTCGTGACAGAAGCAACTCTAATCCCAAGATGAATTGGGTCACAAGAAAGGGTGTGGCTGTGCATAGCATTGTTCCCTTACCCCCGGTACAACGTGCACCTGTGAAAGGCGCCAGTCATTGCCTACCCAAGCAGGATATTGCAGAACATGCCTTCGCAATGGCGTGCTTCAGATGGTTCAGTTCCACCTTGATATGGCTCTTTTGGGCTCCTTGGCTTCTACGGATTCTACAGATTCTGCGGTAGCGACGCATTCCTCCTAAATGCGAGCGTTTGAAGCCCGAAGTCAGTTGCAAGCGTTACCAACCGTTCAGGCAAAGTGCTTGGTCAAGTCGAAATCTGCAACTTCGGATCATTGTTTGGCATTGCTGTTCCAGGCTTCAGTCCTCCATGCAGTGGGAAAAGCGGGCGCCACAGACACCATCGCAGACCTTGACCAGTGGCTGGAGGCCGGTGCTTAGCCAGACGTTCACCAACCGACGTTTTGTTCGAGGAATTGTGTCTGTGTACATGTTCTATTTCTGCCCCCCCCCCCCTTCTTGTTCCCTACGCCCTGCCCATTCCCTGAAAGCACGAACAAGTGGACCCAACAGCACGGCAAAAGATGCACGGCACCTTTCAGAATAACGAAGACCCGTCCAGCAGTCCTGTCAGCGAAGGCACGGTCAGTGCAAGAAAGAAAATGATGTGTCGCAGTCCTCACCTGAATGCTGGTTTTGCATTGCTGTGCCAGACAATGATCCTGCATGGAGCAGAGCAGGCATCCTTCGGCAAAAAATTTCGCCTAACTTGTCCAGTCTGCGACGCAGTTGTTATACATGGTTGCCGGGATTATAAAAACTTTCCAGTTTCTTCTTCCCCCCCGTCGTGAGATGTCAGCGTCGTCAGGGTCGGGGCGGCTCCGTCGCTGGCCTCGCTGTGGCAGACGTGCCGGGCCGCGGGCGCGGCCTCCTCGCCGCTGCGAAACTGGTGCTTGTGGCCACACGATGAGTGTTTTGACGGGGAGCTTGCAGATTGAGGAGTTCCGGCTTGTACTTGTGTGGCCTTCTAGGGTTTGGATGTGCAGCATTCTTGGCCCTTTCCTTTACTTTTGCAGGGCAGGTTGCATACAATTCTCTGCCTCGTAAATGCAACAAATGCAACTTAGAGCCAGTTATGCAAAGCATGGGAGCACGTTGTCACGACGTCGTGCACCTTGGGATGAATGTCGTTATGGAGACCATCTTACACATCGGGTCTGCTTGTACTTGTATGGCAAGCCAGGTTCATTTTGTCTGTTGTTGCCTGCTGTGGAGCTGTCACCTGTCAGTTCAAGGCATGGAAACACGAGAACATATGCGCTTCATCCATAACGCGTTGGCACATCATTCAACTTGGTGGCGCTTTCGAGGTGCCCAACCGACGGTTGATTTCTGTGCCTTCCGAGTGTGTGCTTTATGAGCGTGTCCTGGCAGAGAAACGCTTCGCAGAGTCGAGCCGTGCGAGCCTCGCATGTATTCATAGAAAGATGTGACACTGCACTGTCCTTGCTAAGCCTGCCAAGCATAGCAGGATAGTTTGTGGCTTCCCTTGGCGAAGCATCACTTTGCACCGTAGCGGCCGTAGTCTCAGCTGGCAAAGGCAACATCAAGGACGAAACGGAGGAGATGCAAAGTCTCGTCGCCTATCTCCAAGCCAACAAAACAGCCCAGGCTGGTGAGCTTCAATCATGCTACTTGTAGGCTTAACCTCTCACGCACTCACAATTCATGAGTAGCTGCCTGCATTTCCGATGCTTTGACTTCCACTTTACCAAGCCAAGGGGCGGGGACTTCACGTGCAACTGCTCTCCCATCAGGGGCAGGCAAACAGGAAAATGTCGGTAACTTCAGTGCTTATCCCGGGATGCACCTCAACGCTGGGAAAGCAACATGGGCAAAGCAAAAAAATAGCGAAACACCCTCAACACATCCCGCAGTGACAGAGTAGACCTGTTTCCTTTATTTTACCTCCCAGCATCTGGTCTCAAGAGGACGCGGTGTCCAACAAGTTTCTGCTCTCGGCTCCTGGGCAGAACGTCACAGGTGCGTGTTGCAGAGAATTGTGCAGAGGGGTTGTAGGATGTTCCTGGGCCATTGTAGAGTCCATGCGATGGTATGCGATTGTATGCACAGTATGGCCATGGGTGTCTTGCTTAGCAACTCTCTGTTGACGTGCTTCGCACCGAAACCTTGGGGCTTGAAGGCTTTAAGCTTGGGGGTCGTGGTGGGGCCTAATGGACTTTGGGGTCGGGAGCCTCGGCTTAGTAGGGTTCAGAACGGATTCGCGTAAACTCGCGGAACTCTGTCAGCACCCAACAACTCTGAATGCCCTCTTAGTGCTCATTCAGAATGCATTTTGCCAGCCCGAAGCCCGAAAATTTGAGGAATGGCATGGGCTTAACCCAGAAGTCCTACAGGAGTGGGGGAGCGATCAAATCTGTTCTGCGTGGCGTACAGTACCCTATAGAAGGAATGGTGAGAGGCAAGCCCGAAACCCTAAAATGGGTGGGCATTGGCAAACGTTGAACACTGAAAGACACAAGCATATCTGTGAATAAGCGCGGGCTCAGGCCCAACCCCCCCCAAAGTGAGCGGCGTCATACATCACCAAGAGATCCTTCAAAAGGGGGTTGGCCACTGGCAACAAACACCCTGAAACCCGCTGAAACACCCTCTGAAGGCCTGGCCAAGAATAATGTTGACTTCGCATTAATAAACCCCCCCCCCCTTCATTGATCAATCTCTCCGGCCAGGGCCTCCTCAATAATGTTCGCCTAAATCCTGGTAGGACGTACTACTAGTTTTAGTATTAGGTAGTAGCACCACGCCCGTAAAAACCGGATTTCCCGGGTCGGATTTTACAATTGTGGCGGGCTACACTATTGTGTTCCGGCAGCGGGATTTTACAATTGCGGGTGGATCCACTAATGTGAAGTCAACATTAAAGAAAATGTTTGCTGTTCTTTCGCAAGACGTGGCCAAGTGAAGAGCGGTTGGCTTTGTGAAGAAGTCCTTGCCCATTCAAGGCGTTCATCCTTCAACAGCTTCAGCACCGCTCCCCTTCAAAGCGTTTTGCGCCTTACCTCCGGGAGTCTCAGCTTTGCCTGCAGCAAGTGTTTACTGGTGGTGGCTGAAGTCGGGGAGTTCTCAGTAGGAGCTAAACCACGGTCGTTGCAGGAAATTCTGTACGATAACCCAGGCCTAGCCAAATAGACAGCCTAGGATCTGCGTAAGTCTGCGCTGACGATGCTTCCGAGGCAGGTGTGTGTGTGTGTGTGTGTGTGTTTTCTCATGGGCCAGTCGACTTACTTGTGGCTCTGCAAGCAAGCACGTAGCAGTCATTCACCTCGCAGACCTTCCATGACTGAGAGGTTGCCACTTTTCTGGTCTGCTGAAGATCAAGCAGAGTTGCGAGGCTTGCAAGCCCACTTGCGGCTTAGGCAGTACAGCACCAGCACACAGCACTTGCTGGTGCTCGTTCTTTAGGGAAACCCACAAAAGATGCTTGTATGGCTGTGACCCACCTCTGTCCTTTGGTGTGCTTGGTTCCAGGCACACTGGCTGCCCATGAGATGCCAAAGATGCGGCAAGCCATGCGGAAAGAGCGCCTTTGCTACACGTATCTGTGTCAGGACGCTTAGGATTTGGATAATGTGGAGTGTGGATGTTGTCTGAGAGTTCAATTAATTGTGCCGAACGCCTTCAAGGATGTTCTCAAGCTGAAACCTTTTTCCTTTCTGGCTATAAACTGTAAACCTGCAAGCCTAAAGTTCATTGCAGCGCGACACTTGGAAGGTACGAGATCCTCTCTGCAGCTGCGCCAGACCTTGCCACCATCCATCCCTTTGCAGAATATCAGGTCAGGAGGGTTTCGTGTTTGAATGTTGCAGCCGATATCTGCGCCACTTGCCCGCCCGATGCTGGGGGGACTATGGGGAGGCCAAGAGACTCGGTAACTCGGACAACAGAAGTTGAAGCCGCTCAGCTTAAGTTTTTCGAGAGGAATGGAAATTGCCAGCATGCAATCAGCTACTTTGGGACTTTGTGTTCAAGGAGCTGGCTTCCCGAATCCAGAACCCTGCAGAGGCTGCTTACGCGTTTGTGGCAGCGCGGGCCTTCACGCTGCCGCCCGAGGCTGGCACGGCTGCGGTGTCACATGGCAGCCGTGGGTTTGGTTGCATGTGCAGCATGGGCGCATGTCATTCCATGTCATTCCGTCAGCTGCTCAATGTTAAAGGTTTCAGGGAGCAGGCAAGTGACGGCACCTCGGGGCATGAACAGGTGGACCCCAAGTCTGCAATCATCAGTTCATGAGGGAATGCAGGTGCACGGGATGGGTTTTAAGAGTGAGGTGCTCGCGTCCCCCCCCGCAAAGAAAGAGATGAGAAGAACATTGATCTCTTTGTACCGGTACTTGCCTCATCCGATCTGAGTCTCAGGCTTTATCCTTTCATTGATATGGCCAACCACCAGATATCAGAGCCCAACGTCAGCCTCAACTCGGAGGTGCTTGGGGTTGAGCGCACCTCCCAAAAGCGAGATTACAAAGAGGGTGCCAGAAATGTTAAGGAAATGTGACGGGCTGGAAGTTGCACTCCAGTAGCATATCTTTGCAAATCTGCATGGGAAGCATTTGCTACGCGTACTCTGTGTACTGGCCTGATGCCTGCAGGAGTTCGAATGGCACCTCCAGGAGTCAACGGCAGCCCGGGTTGAGGTGCGTATCGGTACACGATGCAGACAATGTGCAAACAACGTGCAGGCGTATGCCTCTATGCCTCATTTCCCACGACCCTTTCTTTCGTACACAGCTTTCTTTGGCACAGCGGCGTTGTCAAGGTGCTTGCAAACTTTTTACAACTCAGTTGTCTGGAAACGCCCCTGGCTCCGAGGTGAAGCAGCGCGCAGATGGCTTCACTGCCCAGCTGCTTTCTCAGCGCACAGTGCGCACCAGGAGCGGTTTGGGCCGAAAAAGCACGAGTGGTTGCGACAGGTTTCCCTTCCCAAGCTTCTTGTAGTTAACAGATACTGGGGTATGATCTGTCACGAACACGTGTTGCACCAAAATTCCGATGTCGCAACTGTAACAGTCCTCGCTGTTGGATTGCTGGAGGCTTAAGTCTTAGTTGAGGCTCTGAACTTCAATTGAAACCCCATGCTGGCCAGCGCAGCTTTCGCGTTCAGGCAGGAAGTCACCGTTGCTTACGGCGACTCGGGCGATGTGTTGCTGGCTGTTTTGGTTTCAACCTTGAAGTGTTGTGGAGAGTTAAAGAATTAGAGGCAGTCTGTTCTTTCGGAGTGGTGAGGTTTAGGCCAGGTTTAGGGATAGCTGAGTCTTAGTGGTGGATTGATGAGGGTTTAGAGTTTCGATCTATATCAGAATTTGGGTTTTTAAGGTGTAGGTTGTAGCTGAACGACACCAAATTCCACTTCGCGTTGCAGAGAGCGAGAGTTTGCAAAGAGTCAGCTCATGGTCCAAGCTGCCAGGACCTCAGACACCCCAGGCCTTCCAAAAAGTGTAGCGGTCCGCGAAAAACGCGAAAGGGGGCCAGCTGGAACGAAATGAAGGGGCGAAAAGGCGGGTTTCGGGTACCCCTGGAATGGGTGGGGGGGGGAGGGGGGGGGGTCCAAAGAGCCAAATGCCTCACACGCAACATGTCTCTCTGTGTTTGTGTGTGTGACATAGAGGACCAGGTCCTTGACGGGCTAGCCGTTGAGGCTTCCATCCGAACTACTACGCCTTGCTCCGCTATGGCTTCGTCACTCCATGGATACACCGATGGACTTGCCTAACGTCGCCTGTCTCAGCACGACATGTCTACCTGCGAATATATTCAATGCAGCAACAGGCTTACCATGACATGCTAGTGTGGGCAAAGACTAAGATCGCATTCGCGGGTATCCCAGGCCGGTGCGCTTGGAGTTAGCAGTGGACAGCTTGCCTCGGCCCGACAGCTCACGCCCCTCGAATTGCAACTCAGAAGCCTCGCGATGGAGCTGCCGCTCTGGCTGCCTTGTATATCTATGCCCTGAACGTTCACATACGTTCACTGTTCAATTATAGGAGCATGAGATCATGGCAGACCGAGTCCCGCTTTGAGGTTGGAAGAAGCTACTGCGAAAAGCAGCTGGAAACACGGTCTCCTTCAATGTGGAGTCCTGTGCAGGCCCGCGCGGCCCAAAGGCAATATCCAAAAACCCGTTCCAAGCATCAGAAGCCTTAGATCAAGTGCGTCTCGTCCCAGAAGCCGCGTTTTTCACTTGGAAGTTCCCGGCCCTGGATCATGGTACGGCAGATTCGAGCGTCAAGATAATGAAGAAGGAATAGAAAGAGCGCCCCCCCCCCCCCCCCCCCCCCGCGTTTACAGGCAAAAGAAGTGTATCGAAATCGGGACAGCCTTAAGAGCTCGGAGCTTATTCAGTTACCCTCCCTGACAAACTCTCGCGAGAATTCTTACGGAGTTGTAGGTTGGTGTATGCTGAACAGTTGAGTCAGCGGGGCCAGGGCTTCGGCTTCGAGGCGGATCATGTTCGATTTTCTGATCCATTGTTGAAGCTTTTTGTTTGCAACTTCCGAGAGCTTGAAAGAGAGATAAAGAGAGCACTGCGCACTGCTGGACCTTAGGGCACAAAGCTGGAACTAGCAGACTCCACAATGAATATCCTCGACATTCACTCGGGACTGAACAAGCCAAGCCTAAACGCATTCGCGGAATATCGTCCTGACGGAAGGTCAAGGATATTTCCAGCATGTCACTCAGCACAAGCAGCACAGGGCGTGTGTAAAGCTTGTTATAGGCCTTCTGACATAAGTTATCGCAGAGCACGTGTAAAGCCAAAAGTAGGAAACCGATACCAAGATCTGGAAAGCAACACTTCCACGACTTCCATGCGAAGATCCTGACAGTTCTCCCTGCCATCACTTCCATGCGAAGCCGATGCCAAGACTCTCAAAAACAGCATCGTCTGCATCATGTCGATGATGTTCCTGTGGGGAATGGCAGGTCTCGGACCTTCGTGCTTGTTGCGGTGAAAGATCGTAAGACTCGAGCAATGCAGCGGCTGTGTGACTGTGTGCACAATGTGCTCGACTTTTGTGCCGCAGTCCCCGGCCCTGGCCTCTCCGATGCCTTGGCCTTCGCACGCCTTTGGTCCTGCGAGGAAGGCCAGAGGGAACCTTCCAGCTAAAGCAATCTATACTGCAAAGCCGAAAACGCCGGGCCGAAGCTGAACCCAACCTGACGCGTGCTCAAACCTCTTGCAGGCCCGGCCTCTCTGAAACGCTGTGGTCTCGACCTGGGCCAGGTCGCATGGGTTGCTGTAGAAGTGTCACGTTAAAATGTTGTCGGTTCCTGTGGGCTTTCGGGGTCTGGTTTGGTCATGTTTGCTATGGATGCTTTGGGTGGGATGCTTTGGGAGGCTAGGATGGGGGTGGTTCCCGTTGGCTGAGATAGGCAGCACATGATTTCATAGTTTCTTTTGTTAATCAAGGTCGCTGTTCGGTCACCGTCCATTTCCTGTCTCCAAAGTGTCCCATCATCTCCAGGCTCTCTAGGTCTGTGGTATGAGCCGGTGGCATGGGATCCTGGCAGTTCTTAGCAGCTTTACCGCGAAAGGTTGACGTGGCGTGTAGGACCTTGGCTACTGATTTGTCGGGCCTGTCAGATTGTGCAGGACATGCATTGGCACACCTTATCACAGAATCATGCTTTGGAGTCTCTGTCTCTGTGTGTGTGTGTGTCAATGCTTCTGACTTCAGTCTTGCCTACTGAATCCCATAATCTGCCACCAGCTCATGGCAGGCATCCTGGAAGGAGCCGAGCAGGGTTGGGATGAAGGGTTGGGAGGGCAAGCGTTGGCAGTACAAGCACAATGTTGGGAGTCTCGTTGTGGCACTGTTGTGGGATTGTGGGATCTGCTCATTGCTATGCCGGAGGTCTTCACGTCACTTTCACTCCCTACAAGCTGTGGATGCCTCAAGTTAGAAGCGTTTTGAGTGTACTCATCGACATCCTTCCATGGCCGCAGCCCTGGCCTCAAGGGCCAGGGGGGCTGTGGTTGGAGGTTTGGTGGCCGACGCAGCGGCCGTTCCGTGTCATTGGTGCTATGACACCACGAAGCTTGCAGAGCACCTAAAGACTGCTCGCCGAGGCCCGGCCTTCTGCGACCCACCAGGGAACGTTTTCTACACACCCCCATCTGGTGGCTTTAGCTGCTATGGCGATCAGACCATGACACTGCTCGAGTCCTTGGTTGCCTGTGAGGGCAAGTTGGACGTGGAGGACTACGCCACTCGCCTGGAAAGCAAGTTTGGCAAAGCCAGTGCTTACGAGGTGGAGGCCGTGGATCCAGAAAACTGGCCGGAGCTCAAGACGAACCCGACCGACGCAGATGGTAACGTGATTGAGGCCGAAAGGAAGTGGAGCATGCCGCTGCCAGGGCCGTGGCGCCACGGCTCAATCAAGAAGTTTCTCAAGCAGCGCGTGGTCGAGAAGAAGCAGTTCCCAGAGTGTGGTGCTTCCGATGAGCAGGCCAAGAGAGACAACTTCTTCATGCATACCATTGCATACCCCTACAATAAACCTCCACAAGATGGGCGACGTCTTGGCTCACTGCAATATGTTTACGGCAGTACCCTATATAGGCCGCTTCCGAGGCAAAAGCATCTGCGAAACTAGGGTTCCGCCAAAAAATAGCAGGTGGTAAATAACATGCTTGTGGACTCACAGAGGGTGCCAAACGCTGGGTTCCGAGCACGTTCCATACTCGAAATCGTGCTCCTGCCTAGGACACGAGCGTTTTTTGATGTTTGCATCGCTCCGTGTCGCAAAAATGCGCAGGCTTTGAACGGGTTTGCTTCGGGCGTCCAGTCGAAGTAGGGGGAGTTGCATTTTTCGGGGTTCAAGATGGCGCTCTTGCCTAGGTTCCGTGAGCATTTTCCTCGTCAAGTAGAAGCTGTCTTTCGTCATTTTTTTTGTCCCCTGGAGTTCTCAAGGAGTGTTTCTAGACGAGGGGTCTGGGAGTGCTTTTTTGGGGCATCATGAAGTTGTTTTGGAGTGTACTATGGAAACAGCCATGGACTGAGACGGATTTTTCGGTAGCCCCGTCATTTTGTAAAGAGCCATGGGCTGGGGCGAATCCCTCGCTTGCTGCCTCTAGTCGCCGACCCTCTCATTTTACAGAGATTTTATTCGCAGCCGTCCCAAGTGTCCAAGTGGACACATGATTCAAGAGCTTAGTTTCTCGTTAACATGAGTGGGACAGTCTCCTTAGGACTGCCTAACGGGCCTAACGGATGCCTAGATTCCAGATGTTTTTAAACAGCTGCAGCTGTCGGAAATTTCGGAAGTAAGGCTCTTCTGAACTGTTGTACACTGCAGAGATCTGTACACTACTTGAGTTTGCAGATGCCAGGTGGACGGCTGCTGCAAGGTTGCTCCTCTTGTGGCTCTCTTGGCTGGTTCTCAACAATTGTTGCCCAGTGTGGATACTGCCGTCCGAGTCACACAGAACACCGACAAAGCGTCGGCGTTTGCCTGTGGATTTGCGCGTGTCCTTGAGAAGTTGGTTCTTGGAACGCCCACCGTCAGTGAGGCCATCTCGGCAGCCCAAGCAGACCTGGCAAATCCGGAACGTGCCTTCAAGACCGCCCTTGATGACGATGTGGCCGCCAACCTTGGCCGGGTGGTGGGCGAATTTTCCGGCATGCCGCACATAGAGGTTGGCATGAAGCTGAAGCCTGAATCCGCAGGATTTCCATTTGCTGGCCTTGCCTGATCTTTACCTCAAGCAGTGGTTTTACCACTGCACTGCGCGCAGGAACCTGATTACAAGCAGGCTGTTGAGGAGAGCATAAGAACTGGAGGCTGCACTGCCAGCCGAGCTACCCTTGCTGGCGCGTGCTACGGCTCCATTGGCACGGACCTCATGATTCCAGAAGAATGGATTGCCAACACCAGTGAGGGAGCTCGGCTCAAGGACTCCGACTCCAATGCATCTTTTGTGCGCTTGCACAACCTCGCACGCTCAACTCTCGTTCACTCGCTGTGGGTTTCACTCGCGCTCGCACTCTTGCACTCACTCCTTGATACTTTCAAACTACTTGAGGCAGATTCCTGTACTTATTTGCAAGGTTGGTTCCTCTGGAGCATGTGTTGCATGTGTTGCAGCATGTGTCGGAGCATGTGTTGTGACAGAGGCCCCTCCCATGTTTGTGACATCCCGGATGCGATTGCATTCAGGACCTGGTGGCCAAGCTTGTCGACCTTCGTGAGAAGGTTGCCACCGACTCCACGGTCTGCTGCGGAGCGATGTAGCCGCAATGTAGCCATCAGTTTTTCCTGCATGCGCCACGCGGTTTTGGATCTCATCGCGACTAATGACCCTGTAGATGACCTCACCAACGTCACAAAAGGTCCCGAAATTGTGGAGCGATGTAGGGCGTCGAGAGCATCGGATAGATTCAGCTTTCCCCAAGCTCTATACTCTATACATAAGGTCTCGAGTCGGCTCTTAGGGGCTCTTAGGGGCTGTTTCTAAGAAGTTCCGTTCATTGGGATGCAGAGTGCATTCAGATTCTGTGGAATGTAGTTGTTCTGAGTTGCGAACCATGTTTGGAGATTCAGATGTTGGCCTCATCCATTCCAAGCCTGCTTGGCCTTGCCATTGCGGCCGCAAGCGGTGCGCTGGCTGCACGGTGTTTGATCCCTTGCCTCTGCATGTACATAGTGAGAAGGGCCTACGGCATCCCACGATGCCTGATGAGGTTGGACCTTTGACAGTCCATGCGCAGGCGAGTTCTTAAACACAGCAGGTGGCCAATGATGCCATGCCAAAACTAGCGGTTGTATGGTTTTCCGAACCACTGAAGCATGATTGGATGACAGCGTTGCTGCTGCGAACCTTGTGGTGCCTGCGCGGCATCCAGGGATGTGATGGAGCAGTGACTCTTTAGCATTTTATGTTTCTGGTGGGCTCGACAAAGCCTGGCTGATGAGGCCAAGACAGTCTGAAAGACAGAGCCACAACGCGTCGGACCAAAGCCCGTGCTGTTGTACACCGATGTACGCCGTGGGTCCACTTGGCAGTACTCCCAATCCCCAGTCGTGTTTGCTCTGCCAGGAGTGGAAGTTGGATATATCCTGCTTCGTCCACACTGCCGTTGCCGAGAGGAAGGCAGGTGACTATCGCAAAGATGTGGATCGTTTGGGGATGTATTCGCCTGTTTTCCTTGCTTCATCCATCCATGGCATAGCTGAACCTGCGCTCAAGTCGCGAGAGCTGTTGTTGGGGGAGCTGGAGCCGAGCTGATCCGTCCGGAGGAGTGTGGGAGAAGGAGGGGGTAAGTCCCAGACAGAGTCCTGTGTTTTTACTACACTGTGGGGCCGGAGTAGGAGGGAATCGTGCGGGGGCGTGTAGAAACCAAGCCGACTGGTCGTCCTGTTTAACCTTCGTCGACCCACCACACCTCTACATTCCGAGCAGGCATTGGATCTCATCGAGGGTGCCGTGGCCACTTCCAGGCCCGACTTGGCCCGACTGCTGTGCAGGACACTCGAGGATACGCACTATGAATCTTACGACCCCAAACCCACCAAGAGCGAAGAAAGCTCCGGGCCATGAGCTGTCAAACATCCACGCAAGGTACTCGTAGCACATCACAGCATACTACGGCTCACGACCATTCACGGCCCAAATTTCAAAGCCGGCTAGTCCTGAACGCTAGAAATCCATTTGCTCAGACAGCGCCTTGCTGGCGGATCGTTGGAGGAGGAGGACACTCCTATCTCTCGTGAGTCGGGCCGGGCAGGGATCGGGACAGCGTTTCAACAAGAGTCGGAGTGCTTGTGGTGATACAGATGCTTGGCAGCAACCTGTTCAAGCGAAATTCTGGCATGAAGCACCATCTCAACCGTGTCTACGGGACGGTCATAATCAGGAGGAGCTCCTGTCAGATGGTTTGCTGCCGCCGAATCTGCAGATGGCGGTTACGCTCAGACGTGCACCTTGGACGGTCAGGCAGAAGCTGATTGGCAGAAGCTGATTGGCCAATAGAGTGCCAATAGGTCAATTGGCCAAATTTCGCATTTTAAGCATATTTTCTGTTTTTAAGCGAATGCAGCAAGTTAAGTGCACAGACGGCCGAGGATGAAAAGAACACCTTGAAAGAGCTACAGGCTGGATTTCCGTGTGCACATGGTACCGTCTTGCATCAGCGGTACTCAGTACTCGTATGTGCTGCGGACATGTCGAAAGTGCAAGTTGGCACAATCATGAACTCTGCTAAACGCGGTTTGTGATTTGTGTGTATGGTACTCAGAGACTGTCGTGAGACCTTTCTGAACGATGCCCGAGTGCGACTGCGACGAGCTGGGGCTATGTGGCGGTACTACCTCACGGACGCTTGGTCATGCAGTAGAGAGCTTGGGGTAGCAAGGTGACCAGCCAAAGGTATAAGCCATGAAAGGGGCAGTCGCATGGCCCAGTGGAAGATTTTCCTCAAGATGGTCATGCACGGCGTGTGTCTAACTGACTTCAGCCTGACTGCAGATGGCGTAGTAGTCGCAACAATGTTCAAGATGTTAAGTGACAGCAATGCACACAGTACAGGCGACAGGTCTCGGCAGGCTTTGCAATGTGATTCAACCTCAGGAGGAAGCAGTGGTGAAGTCGCGCTCAGAGCTGTGAGTGGCTGCGTTGCAGGAGAGAGGATGGTGATGGGCAGATGATGTCCAGAAGGAAGTCGAAGCAACCGCTCCATGAAGAAGCTACAGCCCAGGATCAAAGTTGAGCATCACTGCTCCCTTTCCCAAATCCTGAGACGTCGATGAACAAGGAGTTGTTTTTGGAAGGGCCCCTGCCAAGCGAATGTGACTAGCTCAGTGAAGGAGAAGCGGTCAGAATTCAGACGAAAGAGCTGGAAGACTGGTTGGAAGAAACATTGCTGGCCTTGCTGAGGGCTGGTCATTCGTAACGGCACCGCACCAATGGGCAAACATTGCGATGTGCACGGTGTTATACGGTGTTGCCCGTTTGGTTAGGCCCTGTCAGGCTCCTCGATGTTTGTGGTTGCTCAGAGGCGCGACCCGCCATCTCGGCGACAACAGGAATAGCTGACCGATGAACAAGAGCAACAAGAGTGCAATGCTCACCTTTCGAGTCAACATGAAGGCCCCTACACGTGCGCCATGGCTCGGACGCGCCTCTCAGTGCATCACACGGCGTTTTCAGACTCGGAGCTTACAATGATTCACAATGGCCGCCATGTCTCTTGAGACATTCGTGAACTTCTTGCACCTCCTTCTGGCCCCGAACCTTCTGCTGGAAGACAGCAGAGCCTCGGAGGCTCCTAGGCCCAAATCCCCATCACTGCACCTGTGCAGCCTGTGCACCTCTACTTGAACAGATGGAAGGCCAAAGTAGGGTGCACAGTGGCAACACCATCGACATCCTGCCCGCACTGCGCTGATGCTGGAGGAAGAGAGAGCACCGGCTGGCAGAGACAGAAACAGAGGGGCAATTTTTGTTCCTGGAAGTTGTTGATTGTCCGTGCCTGTTTTTGGGCATGCAGTCGTGACACGCGAAGCCGGTTACGACAGAGTCTGCTAGCTAGACCTAACACATCGAAGATGTTTTGGGCTCTCGAAATGCTACGTGTTTTCAGAGAGTGAGAGCCGCAGAGCTATTGCTGACAGCAGCAGTTTGAGTCTGCTAAGCCAATGACATGTCAACTTTGACATTGCTGTGCTAGGACAGTCTTGTCAGTGCAGGTCCATGCAGTGCCAAGATGGAAGGAAGCATATGGCATAACTGTCAGACCCTCTAGTGTGAGGTGCAGCGTTGCAGCAACTACTCTGGCTATCCACCGCATCGTGCGCAGATCGAAGGCGCCCTGGAGGGAATATAATGCAGGATTTTTGCGCTAGCTTTGAACCAGCCAGCGCGATGCTTGTCAGCACAGCTGTCTCCAACCTAGTGTGCCACAAGTCTTCGCGGTTTGCCTGAACCATCCTGCGAAGTCACCCTCAACTCACAGATTTTCCCATTGACCACTGAATCATTGACCATCCCTGACCCTGATCCTGCAGGGCTTCCGGCAGCTGGAAGCGAGCCTTCGCTGAAATTCATAGAGGTTCCAGCTTACGGGCACTTGCGACTTCGTGATGCGTCATGGGCCTCTTCTTAGCTGCGTTCCTTCCAAGAACTGAAACCTGAAACCCACAGCGCCGCAGTGTTCAGGCCTGGAGCGTCCTTCTACCGCTTCAGGCAGTGCGAATAGATGGCTGAGTCGCAGTGGTTTGCAGGGATTTGGACCCATTAGTCCCATTAGTCGTATTGACGAGATCGAAGGGCTTATCCCGGATGCATGTTGCAGAGATTCAGGTTTTGAGATTGCTGTATGCTGCGCAAGTCTCGCTGTCGGTTTGCAAGGGTCAGTAATGAAACCGACCAATCCCACAAGACAATGATAACATCCCTCATCCGCAAGTGCCGCAGCGTACTACAGAGTACCCAGAGGGATCCAGTGCTGTCCAGAAGAGACACTTTAGCTTCGACAAGCCCTCTCGCTTGACGATTCTTCTCACCATCTTTCGCAGTGTGTCTTGTCTGCTGGGGCTTGCCCCTAGGGCTGCAGAGGTGGCATCGGTGTAGAAACAGCCCTCCACCCTCTCTCAACTCTCAACATCTTTAAGACGACATTCAAACCTCAAACCCATCACCCATCAATCCGCAAGCCTTCCCAGACACACCCCTCCTCCAAATCTCCCAAATGCCCCAATGCAGAAGGACCTCTCCAGGGAAGAAGGGCGATTCGAGCACCCCGCCCGGAAGGACCAAAGGGGGCTTCCAAAGGGGCCCCGAAGTCCTCCGGGATGTGGAGGCGCGTCAGCTTCACTTCATGGACTGGTGCTCGGATGTGCAGCCGAAATAGATGCTTCTGTGCAGGTTCATGTATTTGTTCATGACTTGAGCTGACGGGGCTCCTATATTCGCTAACACCAGCACCAGAGGCTACTAAAACTTCGGGTGGGCCTCTGGGGCGTGTTTAATCTGCTGGCGATGGCCCTTGTCAGATTGACTGACCTGCAATGCCTGTGGGAGGCCTCCGAGCAGTTCTTCAAAGCAATGGATGCAGAGGCGCTGGGTTTCAGTCGCTGGCCCGCGAAAATCCCGCCCCTGGAGTCGACTGGAGTCCACTTTATTATGTGATGATGGCTTTTCCTTCTGGCGAGCAGTAGGCCCGCGTGTTCCCTGTTAGCTAGATCCCGTGTGCGCTGCAAGGCTTCTCTACAAAGTATGGAGAATGCAGCCACCT